ACACGCCTACGCCTGTGTTTGGGCGGGAAGTAATATAATTTGTAAGGTTGACCACTTCGTTTTTCCCCTTGGATACCATCATGCTTTTCAGATGAATTAACATGATGGGTTAACTGACCTGCCCTTTTATCCTTATTAGTCATCATCCACTGGTACTCTGCCAGCGTAAACCAACAACGCCAACCCCGTATGGTTATCATTCCATTATCAGCTATTGAAATAATAAATACCTATGCCTATACGCGCAGCTGAAAGCTTCATCCTTCGCTTTAATCCTTTATCTGTGAGTACGATTAATTATATTTATTGATCGCGTTTTATTGATAAAATGCAAAAAATTCCAGTCCCTATCATAGATCCTCATATAAGAAAGACTTCTGTTCATATAACTACATTATATTATATCTTAATTGAAATAAAAACCTATTCGTAATGACTGTTCTAATTTGGTATAAAAATAGTTGTACTATGGAGTTTAACTGCATTTTTTTATAGCGATTTAAGGCGATTAGATTTATAGCTTTAGTTCTTGTCCAGCCTAGCAAATAGCCTATTACGTAAATGCCAGGGGGGAGGGATTGTTAGTAATTCAAACTACTAGTCGCATTGCTAGCAATGTACTCAGTCAGGTCGACCCCCACGTGGCCCTCCCTGGAAACTATCGTACTGAATTCCAAGTGTAATCACAATGGGCTAACTGACCTTGCATTTTCATTCTCACCTATCATCCCTCACTGGTGCCCTCCCAGTAAATCATTAGCGCAGACAGGATTACCATTCAATTATCATCCATAAAAAAACGTAACTGCTATGAAACGAAGAAAATAATTTTATTAAACTACCTCCGATAAAAAAATCACATGACACGACCATGATATGAAGTACCTGTTTATAACCAACAAAACTATGGAGAAAATCTACCTTCATTTTTATAATAAATTGGCGAAGTCAATTTAAACATGTACTTCGGTACTACAAATATATTGGCAATGATTTTTTATGACAAATTTCGTTCGTTGTTTGTTTTCATTTATATTTATTATATTACTTCTGTAGTAATATGAATAAAGGTCTTTCGCAGGTAGAGATCCGACGCCGTGACCGGCGCGCCGGTGGAGCAACAGCGCGTTGTGGCGGTACCGCGTGTAATTGTAGCGTCTTGTTTACAGACAATTTCGGCGCGCACTACTTTCAGCCGCCACACAACGCGACCTTTAAATATTCACTGGTTTCTTGTTTTCAATTTGAACACCACCCATTATGCCATGTCGGCGTTTTCCACCCTTACATATTTTTCTTACGTAATAACCGCGTGCTTCGTAATAATCTTTAAATTTCAGCTATGAAACGCTTAATAACCTTATATAATGTTACATAAATTTAATCAAATTTATTTTTAACATAATACTTATTTTTAATTTTTTTTAACTACCCTCACGGAATCAGTTATATCGCTAATTATTAGAAAATTAATTAAATTTCTTACCCACGATGAAGTTCCCGCATCTTGCCAGTCTTCAGGTCTCATTCTTCTACTCTGTTCTATGGAAAATGGAAACACAAAAAAACCGCGGTCTTTCCGAACTCTTTAAAAAAAATTCTTCGGACCAACCTCTAAAACACTACAACTCGATAGAATGACTACACTTCACTCACGCACGGACAGGGCCGGGCCGGTTTATGTGTTGCCAACTCGATATAAATTTTTTTAACCAGATTGAATTAAAAACGGGCCAATAATAATATTGGACTAAATAGTAACCTTAAAAGTAATAGAATATTAATAAAATACACTAAAAGGTCTATTTTCTTAAAATTTTAGTCTAAAATAGCAGAAAAATGTTTTTTTTTTATTAAATCTTATTAAATTTTTGAGTCTTCATATAACAGAACAGAAGAATGAAACCTGAGAAGTCGCAGCCACCAGGCTGGCCAGGCAGGCCGGATCACCGCCGTTTTCACATTAAGTCATTTTCGTGATTTTGTCTTTCACATTAAGTTATATTTCTAGTGTTGATATTTGCCAACAGTGTGCATTATAGTAGAACTATATGCAGATCACTTTTGTAGTAAGAAAATAGTGGACTATTTAGACTAACGCACATATTAGCTTGACGTTCAGAAAGAGTATATGCGACTAGATAATATATAGGTAGGGGCTTCACAAAACGCAAAAGAATACCTTTTGCTACTGTTGTGTGATTGTCAATTCTATATAATACTATTCTGTTAAATTTAATTACAATGTGTGCTATAGTAGCCTAAATATATATAACAGATCTTTCTAAAATAATTTAATTATATATTACAAAATGATCCTGTTGAAAATAAAATTTTGATAAAATGTGAAGTAACTTTAAAAATTAGAACCCTTTTAATGTATTTAATATATATTCACAGTAATGTTCAGAGGAATACCGTGGTCGTATGACATCTACCCTAAAAAAAATACATTCTAACAGTAGTGACCAATCGTAAAATTTAAAGTTAATCACATTATATATCTAGAGGGAACTAAATGACAATGGAAATGTCGTATGATCCAGGACTTATTTTAAGACATAAACAATAATTTCGAGACAAAATATTTCCACATTCGCCAAGATAATATATTTGGCTTACATTTGAGGCATGATTTTAGAAATTATTTTCAATTGTCTGTTGCAAGACCATCTGCTAGAAACAGCTAACAATTTATATATTTGAAATAAATATATATATGAAAGTGAGTTTGTTTATTACCTCTTAGTTATCTTTTTAACGGCTTAACCATTCATTATAAAATTCGGTATACACTTATCTACTATATAAGATGGGAAATTATATAATATGAAATTATGGAAAAAAAAAACTAGTAATACCATGTCATCAAATCAGCTGTAAACTATCCACTATTGCATATAGGCCTACCCCTTGGAGGGTTGGCAACTGCAGTTAGGCTTTAAAAAAATCTCTGTTGCCCACCGTCGATGTTTAAATTCTCTTAGACGCCTCTTACGACACTTACTATAAAGGAAGTGGGCTCATTTTATGCCAGCACTACACACACCAATAATGCTAAGAATAAATAATGGCAAGAACACTGTTATCATGATTTTAGTAGTGGTTTTGAAGCAGTGTACTTCGGGACTATGTTCTGTCTATACAGGACTTTGTGTAAAAACATTTGACCAAGCCCACTAGACAAGTGGTAAGCGACTTTATCCATGAAATCGACATCGCTAACAAGTTCGTGAGTTAGAATGAGACACCTGGAGTTGCTATCTCATTCTATCTCACGGACTCACTAGCAATGTTGATTTCATTCACGAATTCGCTTGTCACTTGTCTAGAGGGTCAGGCCTGGCATTGGTATCGAAATTTCCTTAGTTCAAACTTCCTAAGCGCCTGTGTAAATAGATTACTAGCTTTTTGTCCGGCAAAAGTATTAAATTTATTATCGTTGGTGACTGTTCCGATAGCATGAACATTAATGCTGGCATTCCACAAGGCTATTTGCTATTTCCAACGATGTTTTTGCTGCATATAAATGATATGTTAACCGTAGGTGATATATCATTTATATATCCAAATATACAACACTAGGGATGCCCATTATCTATCGTGGAACATAGTCACGAATGAAATCAAGAAAACATTGGCTAGAGTTTCTGATTGGAGAAAATTATGTCAAGTTTAAACCAGCTATGATACGAGCTTGCATATTTACTGTTATAAATAAACATTTACTGTGACTTCATAATTTCAGGGCACGTTCCTTATCATCTCTAAGAATATTGGAATCCTTAGAATCCTATCTCGTATGGGAAAATACCGAAATACCAGCACGAACCCTTCGAATTAGTGTAACGACGAACACTAAGAATTAATGATGATCCTATGCTTACACGCAGTGTCGAACTTTTAAGTCTTAAGAGAAATTTTGTCCCACTTCACATATTCTACCGCTTGTACAATATACTATGCTTAATAATGCAGAATTGTTTGAAATAATGACTACGGCTATTTTCTGTCATCGTACATCTCGCCACCGACAGGAAATTCACCCTTATACATTAGATAGATGGTTGCGTACAACGTAATTTTAGAGATATTTCTTCCCACAAATGCCCAAGTTGTGTATTAAATACTCTGTCGAGGTTTTTTCAAGAATCTACAGCATGGGGTTCTTTAAAAAAAGGGTAAAGAGATTTCTTTAGGACCGACAACGTGTGCATAATATCTATTAACTCCTGCAATATCGTATTGTATTATTGCATGTAGTATTGCAGGCGTTTATAGACTTCAATAACCACTTATCATCAAGTAAGTTGTATAATTGTTTACATGTTTAAATTGAAAACAATTGTTTAGGTACATAATCTTAGATGGTAAAAAATTATTTAAGTTTTGGTGTCATTTTGGAAAGACTATTCAAATTACAAATATTCTTTTCGACAGAATATAAATTAGACTACGTTAGGAGTCGGGGGCTAAATGTAAATAACAAGACTCTGAATGAAGAAAAAAATGGCTTATTGTAAACTTGAAAATACTAAGTTGGTAACACTATAGAACGCGCGAACGATACATTTTTTTTTGTTCGCCTTCTTTATGTTCAAAGAATTATAATCAAACAGCTATCTATGACATATACGATAATTTATTTATTACTGTAAAACTTCTTATCACGAATTATACCTCAAGCATTGTAAGTAGAAAAATAAGATTACTGTCTAATGTAATTGTTAATAATTTATAATTTTTTTAGAGTTCTAATAGGAAAATTAGAAAAAAAATCAGAGAACAAAAAATGTTATTAAATTTTTAGACTAATCAAATAACTTGTATTATCCATCTTCTACCTATCTATCTTGTAAAAGATAATTATTTCGTATTATTTAAGTCATAACCGTTTACTGAGGCGATAATATGTAGCATATTCTATCTCTGATATTTTGTGGTAAAAAATAAAGATTTGCATTTATCCTTAATCTATGTTTTTCATATTTCAATATTCGCTTGAAAAGTCACAGACCACAAACATATACATTTATAATTTATATATATACATAGTGATTACTGACTATTCTGTGTTCACATTATTAACACTTTTTCCTTTTGTTTGTATCTACCTTGGTATAAATATTATTATGATTAATTGTCACATTATTGCTTTTAAGTAGATTGATTATTAAGTGATATTAATTTTATATTAATTCATAGTGTTAGTGATTTCTTAAAATAGCTGTTACAGTGCGGCGTCGCCATCGAAAAATACATGGGGTGGGTTTGTTATTTTCGAAAAATGGTTTAATTTTGACTAGCCCATAAAATTAACAACCACAACGATGATTATATTTCGTAATTAAAAAAAATATATATATTGTATTATATTTATTTTAGCAAGCATCGTCGTTTTACACTAGTGGAAAATTACCAAGCTTTGCTGTGTTGAAGTAAAAATTTTGCTTACTGGGTATTTGTCATAGAGGTGAAATATAACCATCATATTTCATTACAAACGTATTTGATAAAAAAAAGTAATCGCCACCATGGAAGAAGATAATGCTGGAGACGATAAAGACGATTCAAAAAGGTAGGATGTGTAATCCCTAATGATATAATGGTAAATTTTTATTTTGAATAATATGTAGTTTTATATACATTATTTCTAAAGTGCCACTTCTGTGTTAAATAAAATTTTACATGTTTACTTGTTATGAATGTTACAATATTGGGCAGTACATGTTTTCAAATTCTAATAATGTGAATAACAGCATTTAAAAATCATTAAATTTAAATTTAATTTACATAGGAAGGTGCAGTAGAATTAAGGTGGCTATTAGGTATTTCTTGACAATCATGAAAGATGATGATATTATGATTGAATTATATCTTCACTCTGAAAGGTACTTAATGATATTTCTTTAAACTAAATTTATTAATATAATAATGAAAAGTTGAAAAGTATGCATTTTAATAAAATACAAATTAAAATTTTAATTAACTGAGCAAAGACTTTCAATAAGAGAATATAATAAAAAAGTTTAAAATTATTAAAACAGAAATAATATATATAAAAGCGGCTGCTGATTGATCTATCTATATATCAACACACAGCTGAAATCACTGCATTTATAATCTTGAAATTTTGCAGACAGGTTTTTTATATAGCATAGGTGAATAATAACAAGAATTTTCAAAATTCAACTTCTAAAGGGGGTAAAATGGGGGTTAAAGATTTGTATGCAAGTTCATCAGTTAAGAAATAACATACATAAAATGTATGTAACATTGATTCAAAATCACGTCAGCTGCTTATAAGAATAAGAATTAGAGCTACAGAAATTAAATTATAATATGAAAATAAATTTATTAAAAGAGTTTCATTATTAATAAATAAATATTTTTTCAGGAGAACACGTAACTTAAGTGAGAAAAAACGAAGAGATCAATTCAATATGTTAGTTAATGAATTGAGCACTATGGTTTCGACCAATAATAAAAAAATGGATAAATCTACTGTTTTGAAGGCCACAATAGCTTTTCTGCGGAATCATAATGGTAATTTATATAGTCTTTATTGAAGGAAATGGAATAATTTATTTATAATTGATGGAATCCATCAATTATTTTGTTTCAGAAATAACAGTCAGATCTCGAGCACATGATGTGCAAGAGGATTGGAAGCCTACATTTTTATCAAATGAAGAATTTATATATCTAATATTAGAAGCACTTGAAGGTTTTGTGATGGTATTCTCTGCAAATGGTAGAATTTACTATGTCTCAGAAAGTATTTCATCACTATTGGGCCATAATCCCGTAAGTTTCATCATATTTGTTATAATACCATTAATCAATAAATGAAATAGTGTATTTTAAAATTAAATTATATTGTATATAACTGTTGCAATATCTTTATAGGCTATGCTGGTGAATCAAAGTATTTTTGATCTGGCTTTTGAACATGACCGTCCTAACTTGTATAGTCTTCTGCAAAATCCAGGCATATCAACTGTGGATTCAATGCAGTCCATTACCAAAGGTGTGTTTATAATTTATATTCTTATGCTTAAAATATGAAGGTAGGCACAAGAGTAATACAATATTATACTTTACTATAACTCAGCTAATTACAAAAATCTCAATTATAAAAGTGTTTGGCTAAGCGAATCACTATCAATTTTGCATAGCGAGTTTTTGTAAATCACTAAATGCTACATTCTCTCTTATTACAATAGGGTAAAAAGTAGTTGTATAAATTGCTGATCATTAATGAAATACCATATAAATGCACAGCTTAATTTTTTTTTTTACTATTATTTGTCATAGATTTTGTTTTCATTGGAATGTAACCAATATAAATTTTTTTTACAATTTTTTATTTAACACTCTTCTAAGTCTTTCTATTCATAGTTAGAAAGCTGTTTTTAAACACTTGTGATTGTGCTGAAATTTAGCATTATTAAATTTGGTGACAATACAATATTATGGTATCATCAAACTGACTTGACTGATGAATTCAGGAACTGGCCATAGGTACTCGTGAACTACATATTAAATCTGTCCTTTTTTCGCTCATTTCATTTGTTTTGACAATACCATATCCCTGTATCTGATATTTGATGATAAAGCACAAATACTATAAAAGGTTGGTTTTAATAATATTTTTACTACTGATTTGTTAATTTAAGCATTTTAATGTAAAAACTATATATATCCATCGTCTTTACCTTGTTAATTGTTACATAACAATAACAAGCAAGAAATAAGATTCATGGCTTTGTCTTTACATAACCAAAAAGTTTTTTTTACACATTTTGAATTTTATATGCAAAGTTTCTAATAATTTAGTGCAGTAATTTTTATTGTTTGTTGGTAGCTGAAGATATTTGCCTTCAACTATATCTTAGAACATTACTTATTTTTTTTTTTGTCATTATTATTAAATGTCATAGCAATGACACACACTTATTTTTGTATGTAACCGTCTACAAAAAACTATTTGATTGCATTTTTAAATAATTTCAAAAAGAAGAAGGTTCTCAAATTGCTTGTATTTTTTTGTTTGTTACATCATAACTCAGTTATAAACTGATTTGGAAATTTATTTTCTATGTCTGAAAGGATATACTTACAAATTGAGCCCATAGAAGTTTTATCAAAATCGATCGAGTTAGTAGTTTAATTAAAAAAAAAATAACTGGTTTTGTCTCATGTTAAATAGGTTTTTTCTTGGAACACAAATTATTCTTGATGAATTGTAATCCGATTCAATGATGATACTTTTTCATTGAAAGTGTTCTGTTGTGTTGGTTTGAAAGTAATTGACGTAATTTGAGATGTATGTTGATGTCACACGACAGGTTTATTAAAGTAAATCAAGTGTTGAAAAGTGTCCTGCAAATTAATTTATTTATATCTGTTCTGATCCCAGCGTATATATTTGCTTTGCAGTTATCTTATTAAACATTAGCAAATTGTTGTAGTTTGCACAGCAAATCTCGGTTCATTTCAATAATATAATTTTTATACATTTTTATTTTATTTTTCTGGTAATTAGTGTACAGATTTACCATATTTTTTTAAATAAATGCCATTTCGAATTTGAACATTTATTATTCATATTTCTGTATACTTTTATACTAGGATCTCATGAAAAATAAAATTTATATTACATTATTAGATTAGAATAGGAAACAAAAACTATTTTTTTTTATTATTCTTCGAATGGTAAAGAAGCTGACTTACGGTAATGGTTAATGTGATAGATTTGTGTACTTATAACAAATTTAATTATTTTTATATCTTAATGTGAAATATTATAATTTTCTGTACCTATAAATTTTCCTTACCTATATTTGAAAGTGCCTAAACACAGATAATAATTATTTTTAAATTTTTATGCTGTGCTCTTTCATGTCTTAAACATGCTTTTTAATATTACTTCAAACTAGCTTTATCTATATAGGCTTTATTATTTTAATTATAGAATCGGCTAACAAGTGAAACGAATATTTATTTTTATTTATATTTAAAAAAAATATAGTGGTAATTTTGTTTTGTTTTGTGGTTTTACAGAAAATGAAATAAGGTTCCAGTGTCATCTGCGAAGAGGCTCTCTAGATTTTCGGGATGAAACTACATATGAGCTTGTCCAATTCATTGGACATTTTCGTGAGTACATTTTTTAAATAATAATCATCTTATATGTATTATTATCTAATCATATATTAATTGTAATTTATATACTACACTAGAGGAAAAAATTAAGGGATAAAAAAAATTCTAAATGTTTTGAGGTTTTTTAAGTAGATGTATTTCCCTTAAAAATAGTTGTACTGGAATTTAAAAAAAAAAGATTTTGAAGCTCAACGTGTTCCGCTCAATCCTAATAAATACCGAAAAATTTTTTTTTAATTTTATTCCGTTCTTTGTTTTGTCTACGAACTTGGAAAAACATTTTCCAACTTAACCACTATATGGATCGGATAGCTTGTTCATTTAGCTTTAATTTGCTTTTTTTGCAAAGTTCGATACCATCACTTCTCGCTGAGATATCGAACTTTGAATGGAAAAGGATCTTTTTGTCTTTAACCATCGATATCTCAGCAACTGCTGATCTCACAAGAAAATTAAGGAGGGTATTGAAATCTTGAATAAATTTCCGACAAAAACCAGATATGATTTTTGAAAAAAAAAATTTTTATTAATTTGAAAAATCAAGAAAAAAGGATTTTTGGGATAATCATGCGCTAAGTTGGAAATATCGAGAAAACCAGTAATGTTGAGTGTGCCTTTTACAGTTCAATATGCCACAAAAACCCCACAAAGTTTCGATTCATTCCATCAAGCCGTTTTTTTTATTTTAATCGATCGAATTTTTGAAACAATTAAAGGATAAGGATTCTGTTAAATTTTCTGATACTTGGATGTAAAAAATTTTATGAAAATTTTATAAAATATATGTTTTTTTTTAAATGATCTATCTTTTTAATCTCTAATTTATTGAATAAACTTAGCCAAAATATATTTTATCATAATGGTAGAACAATCGGTTAACTAACGTTTCAGTTGAGATTTATTTAACCGAAAAAATAAAATATTATTAAATACATTTCGTAATGAACAGGAAAATGAGTAAAATTTTCAAGAATCCTTAAAAAGAAAAACAGTTGAACGAAGTTAGAGGTGCAAGTGTTCTTATTCTCATGGTTACGAATAAAAATATAACTGCAAGAAATATGTGCCCTATTAGGTACTATTTCTTTTACAAATCATGACTCATGATGTTGTTTAATTAACGTTTTGTATGGATAAAGGTTTTTAACATAAATTTATGAATACTAAATTGGCAACATGAAACGTTACAATTATACAATTGTAATGACAAATGTTAAAAATTGTAATAAAGCATAGGAACTTAATTTTATTCTATTATCAAAACAACAGGAACATGAAAAAAATCACGTAAAAATCAATCTTTCACTAATTCTCAGAAAAATGTAAACAACTTTAATTTTTTTTTGTAATACCAACCAACTTTTCTTTTTTTTTTGTAATAGTGCGATTGTTATTCTGTTTTAATATAATTTTTGTAATCTTAAGGGTGTAGTATCTTATCTATGTCAACAAATAATGATGAAATAGGTCATTTTATCCAATCTATTATAATCGTGCAAATTATTTATAAAGATAATAAATTCAAAATGTAATAGGTTAGTTGTAACGTCATATTTCAGTTCGAATTCAGCAGACCTATTGATTTGTAATAAATTTGTGCTTAAATTTTATTTTAATATACAGTGTAACCTTGATACAAAGAGTTTCAATAAAATTATTTCCTCAATATAATAAAATATATTCTTCGAAATCCCTTAGATCTGTAATAGTTAATGCAAATTATACTTTTACACAACGATGACCTACTTTTTGTTAAAAACCTCTTCATAATGTATTTAATTAAGAGAAACAAAATAAGACTATGCTACCATAAGTACATTGTTGATTTTCAATACAATGGGGTATACTTTATATAATGAGGGAAAGTAATTATTACATATTATTATTTTAAATATTTTCTAATTCCTTTCAGTTTTTGTATATCGATATTGCATTGTATATTGTATCCTAATTTTCGCAATTATTATGTATTTAATTAAAGAAAATTATATAGAAATGTTTATAGCGTAATCTGAATATCTCTGCTAAACGGACACTGCACTTACAACGACAACGGTGTCGAATTTTGTCAAGCATGTACTTTTTTTTATAAACAGAAAGGAATAATATGCGCGTTAACTGTTTATAATTTATTTTATTATATATTATAAGTTATATATATTATTATTTCCTTCGTTTTTATTAATGGATAGTTGCTTGACCGATTTGAAAGTCTGATTGCCGATTCCGAATGAATAAATGTGAAGAAGACGAAGGTAACGGTTATTAAAAAAAATGAAAGTTTATCAGCATATCAAATAATGATAGGAGATGAAAGAGTGAAGCAAGTAAGTAAATTTCTATATTTGGCTTCATTGTTTATGAGGGATGGAAAGTGTGAGGGTGATATTGAAAGGAGAGCGAAAGCGGGAAACAGTGTTAACGATGAGCTGATCTGAATTATGATAAGTAAAAATGTATCGAGCAAAGCTCGCCTTGCTGTAGTTCAGGTAGTACTGACTCCGACACTCATGCATGCGAACCGTAAATATAGTAAAAAATAATAATAATAATATGAAAGTAGGACAAATGTTGTAGAGATGAGAGCTCTAAGAAGTATGTATGGTATTATTACATTAAAAGATATAGTAAAAAATAGTGTGATTAGAGAGGTGTGGACAAAAAACAATATAGTAACAAAAATTGAAAATATAATGTTGTGAGGCCTGGCCGATATGTGTGTACTGGCCGATATGATAGGTGTGTGTGTACATATATATATATATGATATATGACAGAGACAGAGTGATATGACAGAGATCTCTTCCAGTCAACCCAGTACAGTAAGAAAGCATTTCGTTAGCGGGCAGGTGAAGAGCTACATACATAAACAAATATACAGTTAAATAAAATATTACATAAATTCGAAATTAAAAACGAAAATAATATCTACCTACTTATATAATAAATGTTAAAATAAATGAATATACTACTTACATTAGAAGTTTAGTATAATGATTTAAGATTTGACAGTTCAATTAGAAAAATAAAGAAATATTACTCAAGGGAAAGAAAATGTGATTTTAACCTTTGCTTGAAAGAGGTAATAGAGGGACTCTCGTGTATGTTTATGGAAGGGAGTTTGTTCCATAACTGGACAGCTCGATACGAGAAAGAGTCGCCCATAAAATGTGTCCTACACAAAGGAAGTTCTAGTATCCTGGACTGAACTTGACAGGAGCGTTTAGGATGGACTAGTGGTGGTAATAATTTAAACCGGGAGCGGAGGTACGATGGAGAATTGGGGTCATTGAGTATGTTATAAAGGAAAGAAAGGATGTGCATATCACGTCGAAATCGGATAGGAAGCCACTTTAACTGGTTGCGAAAGGCAAAGACGTGATCGTATTTACGAAGACCAAAGATGAACGTAATAGCTAGATTTTGTAAATGTTCCAGCTTGTTTGAAGCTCCTTAGTCACATCCAAAAAACAGACGTCGGCATAGTCAAGTATCGGGAGTAGTAGAGACTGTGCGAGCATGATTTAGTGTTTACCGGTAGAAAATATTGGAGTCGCTTGAGAGAGTGAAATGAAAAGTGCATACGTCTACTGAGTTAATTTGTATAACATGGCCAAGACAAGGCACCGTCCATTATGAGACCAAGGTTTTTAACCTTCTCAATATATGCCACTGGAACTCTATCATAATAAAGTGCCGGTATGTCGGACCAGTTCAACTTGCATCGCATCCTGCTGCTGCCAATAATGATTGCTTGTGATTTAATAGGATTCACGAGAAGTCCAAATGTGTTAGCCTACGATTATATTGCAGATAAATCAGTATTTAAGGCAGCAATGGCATCAGACAATCCAGACAGTGCGAAGTGTCTGTAGAGTTGTAGATCATCCGCATACAGATGGTAGGGAGAATTAATAATACGAGAAATATTGTTTATAAAAATTAAAAAAAGGAAAGGAGAAAGCACGCCATCTTGAGGTACACCGGCAGTGAGCGAAGACCAATCCGATGAAGCATCATTGGCTCTTACACACTACTGGCGACCGAAAAGATAAAAAGAAAACCATTCAATAGCAGGAGAGCATACGTTTACTGCTTGGAGCATGGCAAGCAAAATGTCAAAATCTACTGAGTTAAAGGCACTAGTAAAATCAAGAAGAACAATAGCTGTGAGATTGGTGTCATCCATGACTCGCCGAATATCATCAGTAATATTAAGTAGTGCTCCAGTAGTGCTATGGTAAGATCGGAAACCTGATTGGAAACGGCATAACAGGTAATTGACTGTGAGATACTGATATAATTGATTGTGAACTACTGATTCAAGGACCTTAGAGAGAATGGGGAGAATGGATATGGGACGGAATTGGGAGAAACTGGTCGGATTCGGAGTTTTGGAAATTGGAATTTGCCTTTTTCACTGTATCCGGAAAACATTGCATTTCAGCGAGTAATTTATAATGTGTGTGATTACGGGCAATATCTCATCCAACACAGGCAGAATCATATCGAGGCTTAAGTTTTTACTACCAATAGCTTTGGTAGATATGGAACAGATAATCTTTCTGACAGCGTCTGTGGACACCATACGGAAAGTAAAAGAAGAGCAAACAGGCATTTCGGCATCAGAAAGATATGAAAGAGAGTTGACCTTAACAGAATTACTTAAAGAAGAGGGAGGAGTGGAAAAGTGAGTATTCAAACCATTAAGGTCCAAGTTGTTAAGAGATTGATTAGAGGATTTGCATATGCCTAAAGATTGTAGAAATTTCCAGACTTGTGGCTGGGAAAGGTTTTGAATGGTAGAATGGATATAGCGGAGTTTGGCATCCCTACACATTCTGTTGCAGATGTTACGTAGTTTCTTATAAGCCTCGAAATTAACCTGAGATTTGTCGTGCTTATACCGGGCCTTAGCTCTATCCCGTTTAGCCATAGTATGTATGTATATTATTAGATTGTGATTAAAATGTAATCTTCTTTGTTGCGGGATGAACAGATACGACGAACTTGTTGGTGACGTGTATTTGAGTAATAATTAATAACTAATAAAATTAACAGATAAAAATGGCCTTAATATTTAATAACAAAGGGCATTAAGATGGAAATGGTGCAGTACTAAATTAACAAATAATTCTTTTATTCGATAAGTTACATTGTACACCACAGCACGCACTAACTTAGCTATGACTCCAAACTTTTAGTATATAAAAATCCCATGTCACGATATTCGTTCAAGGCCTCCAGACAAGTGGCAAGCAAATTCGTCAATGGAATCGACATCCCTAGCGAGTCCATGAGATAGAATGAGATAGCAACGCCGGGTGACTCATTCCAATTCACGAACTCGTTAGAGATGTCGATTCCATCGACGAATTCGCTTGCCACTTATCTAGAGGCCTAGGCCAAACTTCGAAAATGCTTAACAAGATGGTTGATTTGAGAAAACGTCTGCTGAATCAAATCGTAAAATAAAAAAAATATTTTAACTTATTTTAGGTCAATTCCTCGAATAAACTAAAATTAGTTACAGGAATCTTGGTACATGATCACTACTCGTATTTAATCGCCATTTTATTTTTTACAGGAACTACTATGGAACAAGTGGAAAACAATGATAATATGTCGGGTTACCGCCAAGACCACGAATCACGGTATGCATTTTTTTATATTAATCATTTTCCAAATTAATTTTTTAACAATAAATGTGAGCGTCTATTAAGCGAGGACAATATTGTTTTACGAATTATTATACATGTAAATAAAATTAGAATCGAATCGATGAGTTCAAAATTTGAATCATCTGGATTACTTATGTATATAACATTATTAGATTTTTTTTTATACTTATATATTTATTAATACTAGTAAAAATTATAACATTTTTTTATAGTTTCATTTAGGATCAATACAATCGTTGTATCAAGAATTAAAGTATAAAAATGTTGACTTGTTTTAACAGCTTTTTTCATTTTTATTTATTATACTATATTTATTTAAGTTATTACACAATTTTATTACTCTATAAAGGAGCACGCGTTTTCTTGCAGTTCCTAGTTTCCAGGTGCAAGCAAAAAAAGGGTATATCTTTATGAATCGATTAGAAGAAAAGGCAATTTAAAGTTTCAGAGTTATGTTATTGAGATAAAAGTGTGCAATATATTTTACTTAGAACTAATAATGAAATATTATTAAACATATTTTTGTTAAAATCAGCCTTTTTTCTTTTTGAAATAAAAGAAAATAAGAGAAAGAAAACACAACAAAAATTTTGAAAAGAACTGTTCTTTGTTGGTGCCTTTCATTTGTTTTACATAATTTAGACGTATAAAATATGAGACAGTTTTGCTATAATTGATGTCTTATTTTGATTCACAGATTACTATTTATGTGTACGGGTCGCCTGTATACACCTCAATTGATTCGAGACGTGTCTTTAGTTGATTCAAATCATAGCGAATTCACGTCGCGGCATAGTCTGGAATGGAAATTTCTTTTCCTTGACCATCGTGCGCCTCCTATCATCGGATATTTACCATTCGAAGTATTGGGCACTTCCGGTTACGACTATTATCATTTCGATGATCTAGAGAAGGTCGTTACTTGTCACGAAGCTTGTAAGTAATTTGTTAAGTTTTAATTATAAATATTGTTTAAAACATAGCTTAAAGCATTTAGAATTTAAACGTGGGAAAACCCTACTGCTGTTACTCGTAGTAAAAAGTAAAAGATTTTAAGAGATTGAGAAGGGGAGGCGTGTGTTCAGCATTGGATAGTTAAAGGCTGTTATGATGATTTTGCCAATTTTATATAATTGTATATAATTATATATAATTTAATATGATTGAAATCTGACATTAAAAATGAATAATCTGTGGTCATATCATAGCGCTACTTAGTTCAGACCTAAACTATTATGTGTATTGCGCCGTTGATCATAAAAGCTGTAATATATTTGCCATTATCAGTAGAATGATAAATATGTATAAGGATCTATCTGATCATACCAATAAACTGAAATTTTAGTTAATATAGATTTATAATAAATAGGAGCTATATGTATTTTCTTTACAATGACTGACCCTGTATGATGATGTCGTGTTAAAACTTCATTTTTTTACTAAGCACTTTGAAATTCGACATCTAATATGACAGAACTTTTATTATTACAAACATAATTAAAAATTTTGCCATATCCATCCAATTTTGCGCTTACCAATGAGCAGTTTTCAATTTATTGTATATTATTCCCACACAGTGATGCAGAAAGGTGAACTGACGTCTTGTTATTATCGGTTCCTGACGAAGGGACAACAATGGATCTGGCTACAGACACGTTTCTACATTACTTATCACCAATGGAATTCTAAACCTGAGTTTGTGGTATGCACGCATCGTGTAATTAGGTAAGATTTTTTTAATACCATAATAAATAATAATCTTTGTTACTTGATTAATAAAGAAGTATGGACTGGATTATTTAAATATGAATAAATGTATGTCACTTGGAACTGGTACATGACACCTCCAGAGGTGTCGAAGCAGTGTTGTATATATCTAATAGCTATTGTAACTGGTTATCATTAAGCGGGCTGTATGTTTGTTGTTTAGAGGAAATATAAATAAAAAAAAAAGAAAAACTCACATGACTAGCAAGAGTAATTGGTTTAGATAGAAGGTTTAGAGAGATTAATGAAATGTTTAGAGCACAATATAACACTTCCTGAAGGATGCGAGAACATCCCATAGTGGTTTGTTGGCTTCCATATATTTGGATATAAAAAATATAATATGTTGTTAACTATAAAAAATTATAAATATGAAAAGAATACTAAATAAAATGTATCTCAGAATCATGCTATAATAATACAGCATAAAACATGGTAATTAAAGCATTGTAATTTTGATAATACCATTAATACATGCATGCTAAACATTTTCCTTGTTATTTTGTTTAACGAAAACTCAACTTTTAATTATTTTAGTGTACAATTAAATGTAACCATTATTATATATTGTTACAGTTATTCTGATATAATTAAGAACACAAAGCAAGAGGGAGTGGAAACAGACACAATGAGCGAAATGGATACGAATCGTGGAGTAATAAAGGACACCCCATCAGAAGATACGATGGTGACCATGTCACCGTCTTACATGTCTGAGGCGAGTGACGCCTTTAATAACTACCAGGTATCACAGGTAATGTTCTATTTACAAGCTTTTACTTAATTTGCTTTAGTAAGTTTTTCCGCTCAACATTTGTAACCTATTTTTTTCCACTCACTAGGTGATTGTGCTGAAATTTTGAGAAGCTCAATTTGAAGAAGTTTGATGGCAATGCAATATTATGGTATTATCGAACTGATCTGATGATGAAAAGGAAAAGTAACCATAAGAACTCTGTCATGTTTGTTCTTGTTTGATTTGTTTCTATATAAAGTATAACCCTGTGTGGTTTCTGAACTCAGATAATGAAGCTTAAAGCTATAAAAGTTTGTTTTGATAATATTTTTAAAGAGTCTTGTTTATTATTTTACTTGAAAATCAATGACCAAACCCCTCCAATATCATAGGTTGACTGTTTTTGTACATCGATGATATTCCACAATTATTTCTGATAGCTCCTTAAGTATTATAACCGTGATTATAATTATTTATTATTTTATGAACGCCCAGCCGGCTTCGGTGAAGTCAGCGTCGGCGGGCAGCACAACGGGCACGGTGGCGACCACCGGCACAGCGGCTACTGCGGGCACTTCGTGGGCGCGGAACTCCCACACGCGGTACAACGCTGGCTCGGATACCGCATCGCTCTCCGGAGAATCCAGGTCGTCACAACGGAATGGTTCCCGAGAGGTTAGAATTTTATAAGAATTATGATTTTGTTGTGACTTTGGAGGATTTTTATCTACATGGCTCACAACACGCAGTGCTGTAGTGAATTATAATATATGTATCATTAATTATTACGGCTTCACTCAATAACTAGGGTTGCGACATAAATAATTATGATACAGTGTCTTACAGTATTATGTTTTCTTCGTCCTGTCACCTCATATTCTTCAAACTTTGCCTGAAAAATACTTGTGACTGTATTAGTGATTCATGGACTATGTTATCTCTGTATTCGATATATCAGGATCAGGATTGTATGGCCACTAATCCTACTATAATAAAAAAGTACCTTCTCATGAGATATTTTTCAATATTACGTTTTAAAGTAATATTTAATAAATATACATATTTGTGGTAGTGGTCTATTTGAATATATATTTTCTATAACCATGACAAAAGGTTGCAATTGATAATAGAAAGATTTTCCCATAAACTACTTTATTCATATAAAGTTCTAAAAATTGGAATAGATAATTTTATGGTCCTTGTTCTAGTTTAGTTTTGTTCTATAGAACACAATTATAATGACACATGATATATATTGTTTATAAACATTCCAAAAATAATAAAATTTCTGTGTGGTGTAGTATATTTAATTAATATATATAATTTAATTATAGTAAAACACACTTGTAAAATGTGGTCAATAAAGAATATTATGCTATTATTTGTCTTCGACATATTGTAGACTGCATTATTAAATTAATTAAATCAAAGGTTTAGGGATGTGTATCCTTTATAATTATTATTCATTATTGATAACATGCAAGGAGCTATTATACTATTTAAATATAATTCAAGATTTCATCAATTCAAAATCATTCGTGTAATAATGGTTCTATGCTTCTTAAGTCAAATAGTCTGAACCGATAAAGGATGAATCACAAAAAAAAAAAAATTAAATGTTTTTGAGTATTCTTAAATTAAGTTAATTTTTTTTTATTTAACAACTGAAAGTGCATTTTATTACTGGCTGTACCATCTTTTGCATTACTTGGCTACATAGGTTTTTTTTTTATTTGAACACCGCCTATTTTTTATTAAAAGTTATCGTATCAAAAACGCTAGCGAATGTACGAGCTCACGGCAGACCGTCAACTAATTAGTGCATTGCTTATAGTTCAGCACAGCTCATTTGATTGGTGTTTGCCAATTATTAATATGTGAATAGAAAAAGGCATGATGTAGTGTATGATCGTGTTTTGTTATTTGTCCGGTAGCTGATGCGGACAGCGGCCCCGTATGGCTACTTTTACCAACATCCTAGTCCAGATAGATTGGTGATGTTCCCGCAGATTAATAAGCCCCCGGAGTCTACGTTGGTTCCACAGCACGGGATTGGTGCTCAGTACTTGGATCCAGCGCCATATGTGAGCAGCGTCAGCGTACCAGGCGTACTGCCACTACCTCTCTCAACAATGCCTGTTTTAGTTTCACCAGATCAAACTCAGATACAGGTGAATTATGGTGATAGTTTTTAAAAGTAAGCCAATAATTAAATATTCGTCTCACTTCGTTGAGTCTATGTGACTAGAAGAGATATAATTTTAAATTCAAGTATTTTAGAAATGTACAGGAAAATCTTGGTTGTGAATATATTATTTAATATATTTCGAATTTTTATGTGTTATCCACATACCTAAATTGGGTCCACAGACCGACTGATGTTTTAGTAGTTGTATTATGAGAAGTCGTTTTTGAAATTTGTGCTCCCATTGAGTATAGTTTAGCGGTTAATTATTGATATGAATATAGCCTAGAAAAGAGTTTTAGTTTCCTTTGCTTCTATGTATGTATTAATTAAGACAAGTATATGATCCCTAATAGGGTAATCGAGTGATATTGTCGGTCGTTTCATAGTTGTGGACATTTTATAGTGTAACGTATTAAGATTGGTGCATTAGAGAAGAAATAGATAAATATTAATATCCTTAAAAAGAAACCGATAGACAGCAAAATCTTAATTTTATTTATTATCTCTTAAATTAAAATTTCAATAAATCGCATCTTCGAAGTAAATAGATAGAGTGATGGCTAGACCATTTCTTTGAGTCATTACCACATGATGCTAGTTAGTGGCTGTGGCAGGAGCAGTTGCAACGAAAGCATGAGGAACTACAGCAGATGATCGTGCAACAACAAGAAGAGCTGCGCCAAGTCAAGGAACAACTGCTTCTAGCGAGGTTGGGAATGCTGCAACCTATTATAAATGTAAGTAACGTTAACATTACGTGACACTCACATTTGTATGGTATACATATAATATATATTATATATTCTAATATATTAATCTATCTTATATATTATATATATAATATATATGTCGTTACCTGCTGAACATAGGCCTTTACATATTCTATAGGATGGGCCATCCCTTCCTTTCCAATGAGTATCGTAAAAGGCGACTAAGGGAACTTAATGGTCGAGAAATTGGCAGCGGCGATCCTCTTGAAACATTACCAAAGCCCTACTGCAGTTACAAACCCGCCTGCTACTACTGGTAAAATCTCCTCAAAATGGAGGAGGCCTTTATATATAAAAAATAAAATAAAAAAAAAAAAAACTATTGAAATAGACCACTTATAGATAATATTTCAAAATAAAATATGCATTCGATTTATTATAAGTTAGATTTAAATTAGACTTTCAAAAACTGCACCAGATTTGATGGAGTAATTTCTGCGTGATAGCTGAACAAACATAGATAGACAAAATTTATAAAAAAAAATTGACATCGATGTAGTGGCATGTGTAGATACGTGACAAAGTGATATATGTCGCAAACATCTCTGCGACATTTCTTATAATGGAAACTTTATTATTTCGTATACTATAAATACCGATGTTTATATTTAGGTACTTCTAAACTAGTATATTTTCTTAGGTTCAAAATCCATACATAACTGCGGAGGAGATGCAAAATGGACCGGCACAAATAGTATATGAGACGAATCCGCCTCACTCCACGGCACAATATTCCCAGCAACACCCGCATCAACCTCAACACCCGCCCCATTCCAATCACCATCATCATATGCCTCAATGAACTATACAACACTTAATTTAGACTATAATATGCTTTTTATCTTATTTGATAAACGTCTTGTTAATGTCTTTTTATCGATAACAGTAATCTTATTAATAAAACAAATCAAATAATACAGTTGAATCAAACTACGAAAATGCAACGTTAAGTTCATTTAAAAAACAATTTTAAAATTCTATTTAAATAAAAAGACACGCCAAGATTGTTTACCAAATAAAACAGATTTTATCTAACGTTATTATAGTCTTAATAACTTATACCAGTTATCGTATGTATGTGCATATCTAAGGATATATTGCCTCGCAAACTATTTCACTGTGTTTTATGCCGCCTTTACCATGTCTATTGAAGAATATGACATGTATATTGCTCAATAAAATGTGAATTCTGTCGCCTTTATTATAAAACTATATGAGTATGAAAATAATTAAAAAGACGTATAATCGAATTATGGTCATTCTTTACAGATCCAGGGAAAATAAGACAAAAAAAAAACTTTATAAAACAGTAAATTTAGATACTTATCGCGACAATAAAATAATATTTATTTTTGTAATTTTTATCTGTTTCTTTTAAACTTTGTGAATGAAGGTAACGTTTCAATCAATGAAAGTTAAAGAAAAGTACTATTTTCTGTTCAAATATTAGAATACACTATATTATGCGTATCTGTGATAATTCTGATAACAAAGTAAACTGTTTTGTTTTGTTACGCATCATTGTTTTGTTTTTCATTGTTTTACTTTTCCTGTTATAAATATATTTTTAATTTTTACGATTAGTATATAAAACAAGTAACTATATTAATGTTTTACATTAAATTTATATCATACTTATATTTAAATATATACCAAAATTATAACTATATTTTTACCAGATTACAATATGAAATTGCAGTTATATATTCTAACTCTATATTAGTTTCCCTGGAAACGTTAAAGAATTTGTGAGGAATTTAGTAAATTTAGTTCAGCTAGGGTAAACACGCACTGAAAAATTCTTTACGTAGTTTTTATGTGTAGAATTTTTTACATGGAAATTGCATGGAATCGGCCGCATGCACTCGGGAAAATATCGCACGGAAATAACTTGTATGTTGTTATATTTTACTTTAATTCTACGCAAAAACACTCTGGCTGAAAATTGTAAGTGTATTATAGATAATGTATTTGGATTTTTTTTTTGTTTAGTTACTAATTAAAGAAATATAAAATATAAAAATTCTATTCTGATCGTCGCACTATCGTGTTATGGGCTACCTCAAAAGATTAAAACGAGATTCATATACGAATTTTGATATTTTAAAATTGATTTGTGAAATAACTATCTTTTACTATGCATTGTGTTGTATATACTCAAATGCAATAATATTTAAACACGTCAGTACTTTGTCACAGTAACTTTAAACATCATTTTCAGGCAGCTATATTTTTAAAAGGCCATATGTAATACTATAAATAAGAAATGATTGTTCCTAGTAGCTATATGGTCATCTGGGAGTAATTATATGAAGTTGGTGTTTTGCAAATGATAATTTCCTAACATCATATATTTGTGGGTTTGTAAGGATGTTTAGATGTTGTATTGAACAAGTATATAAAAATGTGATTATTATTAAGAAAATGAGAAAATTATAATAAATTTAAGAAATAATGACTTTTTAATGATTTTTAATAATAAATTACGTGGCAAGACAAGTGTTTATATATTATTATTTGTAACTATACATTGCATTATTCAAACAATTAAATTCGAGATTGTATCTTCATTTCAATACAAATATGGAAAGTATAAAGATAGTTAACTGGTAATGCATTACGGCGTATCCAGACATGTATAATATATTGTTAAATTGTTGGCAATTTGTTTTTATTTACTGTAGTTGTTTTTCTATTGATATAAAAGCCGGCATTAGTTGGAATAAATATTATGAGTGTCAAACTACATTTTCACAGAAAATTCACGTAACGTTATACAGGTCTATACGCGTTCAAAATTATTACATTAAGCTTATTATTTATGATATTTTTTCCTGGTAGCTATCCACCTTCATTGTGCCATTATTTAATGTTCACATATCTCGCCAATAATCAAATATTGACTATTTGCTGATCTCGTGATACAAATTAATAATTTTATTTTTTTTATATTTTCTAAAATAAGTTAACTTTAAAATGGGGGAACATACTTAAGTGTATAACTAATTTTGAACTTACGAGGGTGGATCGAAAAATTTGCGGATCAATCATTTTTTTTTTTTTTTACTTTCATTAGTTGTGTCGTATAAGATATATAAAATTTTATAACAATCGGATCATTACTCACTCGGATACAGCTTATAAAACATGTCATTCCGGGAAAACATCAATCAGAATCGCGCAATCATCAACTTCTATACCATATAAGGACCCTCAGATAATCTTGGAAGAAGTGTTTCTGCTTATAGAGATTGTTGTCCTGTTAAACCATGATTTACGAGTGGCACAACCTTTTCAAGCAAGGCAGGCCAGGCTGGAACGGCCTGTCAAGGTGACCACGACAGACAATGTCGAGAAACTTGAAAAAATAATTTTGGAAGATGCTCATTTAAAGAAAGAGTAAAGCTTGCAGAAATGATTGAAATGATGTATCAAGAATGCTTACGCCACATTAAAAACAGCAGTAAGTTAAACGCTGAGATGCTATGATTATGATTCTGTTTTGAAAAATGAAAAACATTTTCCATGAAAGAAATGTTCTAGTGATAAATAGGCGAGGAGCACAATTTTGTTTAAAAATCCTGGAATTTCATTTATATTAGTAAGTTTAGTAGTAAGTTAATTGAAAAAATATATGAATAATTGTACAAAAATATAAAATTGTTTATTTTTAACAGTGATGTCATTACTTATAATCTGTTTTCCTATACTTGGCATATGTAGTAAACAATCTTGATATGTCTATTTATCGAGATACAAGTCCATAAAATAGTTACTTAGCTTTTATGTAATAGCTAGGTTATATTTTAATTAGTTATGTAATATTTAAATATGTCATCAAATCCTGACATATTTGTTCCTTTATATATTATGAGTCACTTTAGTTTATCTGTTGGATATTTCATCTTGAAACTGTCTGCCGTCTTTATAATTAATGAAACATTGTTAAGATCTGAAACGAATGCTTTAATTTCTTCCTCAAAATGTAAATTAGTTATTCATATATGCTTTTGTAATATCTTTTACAAAATTGCTGAATTGCTCAGTAGAAGTCTAAAACCAATGTAAATAGACTAATAATCCCTATACATTTTTAAAAAGTATTATCAAAATGGGTTCCGAATTGGCGAAAATATTACATAAAAAATAAACACGAAAAATATAGGCGAATTGAGAATATCGTTCTTTAGGAAAGCGGTCCTGTGTCAAGTATAAGAAAATAGACTGTATGTCATTATCACTTCGTAAATGATAGCACATCATGTAAATTGCTACATAAATGCTATAATGCTAGGTCTAAGATATAATTTGTCAAACCTTGAATTTAATTCACTTTTATCTCCAAAGTACTAAGTAAGTACACTCCTCGCAAAAATTAAGGGAACATAAAAATTTTTGAAATTTTTGGGTGATTTTCAACAGGCTGTATTTCAGTGAAAAATAATCGTACAGGAAATTTAAAAAAAGGGTTTTGAAGCTTGAAAACTCTAGTTATCAGATTTTTTGGTGAAAAAATTTTTTGAGCTCCGGTTTCCATGCAATTCTTAAACAAAGCTGAAAATATTTTTTTTCTAAATTTTCTAGGTTTCGTTTTTCACTCTATGGGCATGGAAAAATTTTTTCGAGCTACTTCATTATATAGGTCTCTTAGCGTGTTTATTTAGCTTCAAAAATCGCTTTGGATGGCTCAATTACGACCATTTGTCTCCGAGATATCGAACTTTGAATGCAAAAGCATCCTTTTCCATTCAACTGCTAATATCTCTGGAACTACTGGTCGCACAGCAAGCGGGCGCCGAGTTTCTTTATCTGCATAAAATTTCCAATTAAGCACAGTCAAGAGTTAGTGAAGAAAAAATTTTTTTCCACCTCTAACATTGAATTGAAAAAAGTGGAAAAAAGTGACTTTTTCTCCTTTTTTGGTTACTTGGCTGTATCTTCGCTAATATGGGCGGGAAAGCTAAGATTTGAGGAAAATTTTACAGTCTATTGTTCCTTTAAGAACCCCTAAATCCCTGGAGCGATCGGTTCAACGGTTTTTCCCGGACCAATTGATTGAAATTTTGGAAAAAATAAGGGAACAAGGTTTTTGTCCCTTAAACTCACCCTAATCCATTCAAAAATCAATAATTTCATTTGTTTTTCACTTTTTACTCAATTTTTTGTTTTTTAAAAATTCATTATCAAAAAAAAAATCGAAAAAAATCAAGAAAATTTTATGCAGATAAAGAAACTCGGCGCCCGCTTGCTGTGCGACCAGTAGTTCCAGAGATATTAGCAGTTGAATGGAAAAGGATGCTTTTGCATTCAAAGTTCGATATCTCGGAGACAAATGGTCGTAATTGAGCCATCCAAAGCAATTTTTGAAGCTGAATAAACACGCTAAGAGACCTATACAATGGAGTAGCTCGAAAAAATTTTTCCATGCCCATAGAGTGAAAAACGAAACCTAGAAAATTTAGAAAAAATTTATTTTCAGCTTTGTTTAAGAATTGCATGGAAACCGGAGCTCAAAAAATTTTTTCACCAAAAAATCTGAAAACTAGAGTTTTCAAGCTTCAAAACCCTTTTTTTAAATTTCCTGTACGATTATTTTTCACTGAAATACAGCCTGTTGAAAATCACCCAAAAATTTCAAAAATTTTTATGTTCCCTTAATTTTTGCGAGGAGTGTATTATATTTAAAGATTATACTTCGATTTATATGAAAAATGCATATAAAAATATATTTTAGTTATCAAATTTACTTGCCAAATTTAGTCATAAAAAAATTATCATTCATCTAAATATAACTTTAGATATATATAATATATTGTTGCAAATGTTTAAGTTTTTATCATTTAAATTTTATGAAATATAATTATAATTGTGTTATTTTTAAAATTATGGAATAATTATATAAAAAACTTTTAAAGTATTTGTTATTTTTTTTTTTGTTAAACTATTAGTTTAAGTTGATAAACGTGTGTTTACTTGTTGTTTTATGTTGATAAATCCGCCGGAGAAAAATAATTTGCGGATAAATAAATAAGCAAGTTTTTTGACACTATGTATTTTTTAGTGTGTAATCATGTTAACAAATACTCTGCATTTCTTTTTAATTCTTCAGATTTCTGAAGTTTTTGTTTTTGTGAAAAAAAAAATTATTGAGACGTTTACTGAGAAATATGAAACAGTAAAAAAAATCCGTAATAGAACAAACAGAAAGAGATAATTAAATGAGTTTGAATATAAACACTGTTTTAGATTGCTTTATTATTTCTGTATTTGTTTCTTTATCTAATGATTTCTTGGCTATACAATTAATGCTATCTTATTTTATTTGCTCAAAGTAGCAGTTTAATAAAGTATAATTTATATTATGAATCTACTTAACACGAAACTAATTTCACGGTAAACTTATCTACATTTTATTTAGTATCTACAAAGCTTTGTTACTGACCGATATGTAATATGTATATGTATTGATATGTAATATGTACATTAGGTTCTGGTTTTCAACGTCTTAAAATTATTGAAATTATTTTCGTGAAATACATTTTCAATGTTAATTCATATTTAGTTTTACTATGTTCATGTGCAATTAAAGCCATATTTTTGACGAAATGATTTTTTTTTTACACGAATGAGCATATTTTTTTATTACTTGCATGATTTTTTTCATATTTGTATGTAAAAGTTTTGCCTGTCTATGAATTGACCCAAGTCAATACATTTCTTCCTTTCTAAATTATTTTGTACGTACATACATAGAAGCTCAGGTTGATGTTGTAGATTAGATGTCAATATAATTAAAGTAAGAAATGAAAGTGTATTAAGTAGTACTGGTTTATTTTCTATTTGACAAATTATAATTATGAATTTGTATCGGTAACTACTTTAAAAACAGTTTGATTAGATACCCAAATAATTTAATTTCCTTATTTATTTTATCATTAATACACTAATTAAACAATACTACTGTATTAATAAAATTAACAGATTGCATTCGTAATCTCGTACTTTCGAGAACTGTGTTTATTTGACTCTAAACAACATTAGTTTTACATAGTTTTCTTTCATGTACTATTTTAAATACAACACTTAATATTTGTCAAATAGAAATTAGAGGAATGAAAGAAATACATATTGTTGTTATTCAATGAATAGACATAATATGTGTTTTGGTCACGGCTAGTGATTAACGAATTTACAAAAAGATGAAAAAACACTGTATTGTGCGATACAGTCTATTTTATAGTGGGGTGTGAAATACTTTGCCAAACGTTTATTTTAATAAGTACCTGATGTCTGATTATGATTGATAAACGTAGATTTCTCTAGTGATCTAGTTAATTAAGATAGGGATCAGATATTAGCCAGAAAACTTACGTGATATCGACTCAAAATCACATCAATACTTTATGACTAAAATCAAGTGAACTCAAGCACAAATAGATTGAAGTGTTTTAACATTGTCAAAGACTGTGTTATTAATTGAGGCTACGTCCGAGTCGATCCTGATATTTAAAGGTTGTAAAGGATAATTCATGCAATTATAGTGATGTAATTTATTAGTAGTATGTTTCTCGAGAATGTTTGGATCGTGTAATTATCTAATCATATTGTTTACTAAAGTGATTATGATTAAAAAGAAATCATGAAGAATTCTTGATATAAATATATTTAAATGTACGTTGAGTAAAATTGTATATAGATATATTTGTTTTTAAATGTTTGTAATACGAATAGTTCAAATCATTATGAGTGTAATATAAATACAGGTCAATATTGCCAAATATATATTTCAATGTCACTCTGAAGCCATCTTATTTAAAAAGCTTTTATACCCTTGCAATTTAGCAGCATTTAGTCAATGTTTTAAATTTTATATTTATATTGAATAAGACCCAATAACTTCTATTACTGGTAACATAAATTTACCTTAAGTCATCAACTTAAATTTGGTTATACATATTTGGATTCGATACATTCGAGGTGATGCAAACTTTTTAAAAAGCCCTTCCATATAATATAACAATTATGAAGTTGAAGGTTACGAAACCTTTCACAACTGTATTGGAAAATGTTTTCCAACTCCTGAACTGAAAAAGATATGGTATAAACATCAACTGCTAAAACATCACTTTACCTTCGATTTGCCGATAATATGGTGGAATCCCTTGAGCATTTGGATAGGATGCTCAATGAATGACCTCTATAGTGTTTCTCAACAGGTAGGTCTTAAACATGGGCAAGACTAAAATAATGTCGAACGGCCATGTCACACCCATACCGGTCATGATTGAGAATACTACGTTCGAAGTTGTCGACGAGTATGTACCTAGGGCAACTTGTCCGACTAGGTAAGTCCAACTTCGACCAAGAGGTCAACCGACGAATCCAACTCGGTTGGGCAGCGTTAGGGAAACTACACCACATCTCATCCAGAAAACCTCAGTTTGGAGACAAAAGTCCTTAACCAGTGCGTATTACCAGTGATGACTTATAAAACCAAAACATGGTCCTACACGAATCCGAACCGAGGATATCGGCAAAAGAAGTAACCGATATAGTTCGAAGGATAAACAAGGTAAAGTGGTAATGAGGTAGTAACATAGCTTGAAAACTCGACAACCGATGGGAAAGAAAGGTTCTTGAGAGGCGACCCCGTACGGGTAAATGCAGTGAAGGACAACCCCCTACTAGATGGAGTGACGACCTTAAATTAATTACAGGGAGTCAGTGAATGCAGATGGCTCAGAACCGTTCTTTGTGGCAGTCTGGGGGAGGCTTATGTTCAACAGTAGATGGATAATGGTTGAAATGATGATGATATTGAACTCCAATTACCACCTAGTGTGAATATACCAATACATTATATATCTCTGTTATGTTTTAAGTATTAATAAAAAAATTATCGTAACATTGTGTTTTTATGAAAAAAGATCCCTTTAAATCAGTTAACATCTCGATGTGTATCACTTATTATCATCAGAAAATTTTATTACATATTTGCAGTCAACATTCTTTTTACAGAATAAACTTTACAAAATTGATATACATATATTATCCTGTTTTAAGTGACAGAGTAACGATATATATATATAATAAATAATATTGTAGATACATTTTTCTAAATATAGAATTGATTTTGTGATAAAATCTATTAATTACGTTCAATGACAATTTTAATGAAAGATTTTTTCTAAGTGTATAATTATATGATATGTATACACATTGTCTATGCAGGGATTAAGTAGATCAATTGTATATTTACTCCGTACAGCCAAATTTTTATACTAACGTAAGCAACAATGTCAGTCAACTTCATAGATACATGTATTGTTAATCTGCACCTATTACATGTTTTTGTCGCAATCTTCAAATAGTAAATTTAGAAATAACTGCAGTCCTCTCGAGTAGATCATACAATGTAAATATACTTAAACAATTATAAGTTCATAGATAGCCTGCATGCGTATTGATGTGTGAAACTGTAATTTACCTATATGAGTGAATAATATTAGATGAATGTAGTAATTACAGATTTGTACACAATTTAATTAATGCTATTATATCAATATGTAAATTAATACCTTAATATATACTCATGAATACTATTAACATGACAATATGTTCGGTACTCTGATTAATTTAGAAAAATCAAAAAGGATTGACCAGTTAATTATGCCTCTGAGTATATATAATTTATTAAGTTGTCTGTATAACTGTTGGTGTACTTGATTTATTTTGTGGAAATAAATCTTTGTTTATGCTTTAATTACTCAGATTGTTTCTTTTCATCCCTCTTTTATATCATCTTTTACTAGTCGTAAATTAGAAATGAAGTGGTTTTTATGGAACACATTTTCCATTATATTGTGAACCTAATTAAATTGCATTTGCAGAAAGTTTAAGTTTTTATGAATAAGGGAATAAATCTATGAATATTTAAGTCTATATGTATATATATATATATATATATATATATATATACTTTAGAATATAATCTGTATATATATAAACGTTGGTAGGTACGTACACTCGACGTAGTAAATTTGTCGTAAGTTTTAGCGATCAACAAATAATATTTATATAATTACCTAGGGGGTCTTCAGGATAGTTAAAAAAAGATATATTTTTATTATTGCTTTTACACTGTACAGTGCTTTTCAATTTTTAATAAAAACAGACGCCGCGTTGCCACAACACACACAGAAAGAGATACTAGGGAGTACGTTGCAACAAGAGCACTAGTACAAGCAACCAAAGCTTGTGTGCGTAAATGACAATGGTAATGGCGGCGTAACTTTGAAACTATAAGTCTGATTGATTTCGTTTAAACGTCTATTCATAGTGGCTATATATAATTCATTTTGGCATAAAAGAGAAAAACTAACACTCGATTCAAAAAGTTGTCTATTGTTGGGTTATGATAAAAATATATATATTTTAGTTTCTTTAACACCCCTCTTTTGACACCCCTTACACATTTGTCAACACACCGAAAGAGATTTCCTTCTGGGTGTTCTGTGGCGTTTCCCTCAACTTGCGCCTCTTTCTAAATTTCTAAACATTATTGTTTTGCCTTCTATTACTATATAAAGACTCCTCATATATTTTTTCTTAAATATCTCCCACGTACGGGCGTCGTATAGTTACAAATTTTTTATATTAGTAAGATTCTAAAGCATGTTACGGTTTACAGTACTTGTGAATATTATACGATGTCAGTCGATTTTGAACCAATTTTGATAATTCATTTTGAAATCTTGTCATAACTGAAGTAACTGTTTTTTTAGAACAGTTTGTTGATTGATGTTCACAATTTTACAGCGTTTATACATAGACTAGCTAGTCTAGATAGACACGTTCAAATCTTTTTTTAGTTTCTAATATTTTTTTTAATTTCTCAAAAAAGTGATGACATATATACACGTATATTCAATATATAAAATGATGTCATAACTATGTTAATACGAATGGGAATTTAATACCTAAGCTAAAAATAAAAATAATGATATTACTTAATAGGAAATTACGTACACGTTATGTGAACAGTAGTGAAAAAAAAATAAGCTAAAACGGACAATCAGGGTCTTTTATTCAATAAAAAAAAAACATTGATACACTTTCATAAATGTTATCATCATTCATAAATTAACGGGAAATAAACAGAAAAGGTAACGAGTTGAAATCGAACGACAGAGCTTAATGAGTGCTATGTATCGATTTCCATAACTGTTACACTTATAAATGCAACTTATACCTACATTAAGTTTTACTTATATTATAAACCCCTTTGCAAAAATTAAAGTAAACTAAAATTTTTCGAATAATTAAGTGTATATTATCGAATAAAATTAAATTTTTTCTTGTTTACTAAAGTTACATAGAGAATATTTTCACTAAAGAAACATGGAACCAAAATTGACAAAAAAATTATTTACAATACTAACGCGATACATTTAGTTGTTCAATTTGTAAGGGATATTTTGATTCACGAAATTCTATTCTATTTCGGGGAATGCCCGTGGAAATATTTAGAAATTTATACAATAATATTCGATTTTTGCAAAGGAGTGTATTAAACAACATAATTGTTAATACTAATTCAAATAAGAGAAATCAGTTCTTATATTCTACTTAAATTGAGACAATACTATCTACCTACGCAGTTGCCTTAAATACATATTTGGTATTTCAGCTTTTTATTTTAATAAAAATTATGTTCTATGCGACATGTTGGCCTTTACACATTTTCCAATAGACTCCCTTCATTGCGACCAGCTCTGTATGCGTTCCGCGCTCCACTATTTTACCTGTAAGTGGCATAAATATTAAATGTTTTGCTCTTCTATCCTTAAACAAATCCATTAATAATATTTAATAATCATTAACAATTAATTAACATTATTATATAAATAATTTGCAGTTTCGCCCGTGTAATGTACTATACAAAATATTCTATTCTATAAATAATAGGATAAAGGCTACCTATGTAACAAATTTGATTCAAATCTCTTCAATAGTTATTGAGTTGCAGACTAACAAACATTCTTACTACACAATTTTTCGCATTTATAATAATAGTAGGTAGGTAATAGGACTGACACGCTTTTACAACTTACCATTTTCTACAACACAGATTATGTCTGAATCCTTGACAGTAGACAGTCGATGTGCAATTGTAATACATGTGCGGCCTTGCGCTGCCTTTTCTAAAGCTTCTGTAACAGCCTGCAATATAAATTATTTGTCCAATTAGATACATTAAGAAAGAGAGACACGTGAAAAAAGAGAGTTCACGTCGGTTCTTAGCATAATACAACCATTGTACACAGGAAAAATATAAAAGCAGAAAAAAAAAGGTTACAATAATTACATTATTATGTGCATATGTACACAATATGACCTTTTTTTTATATTATCTAGGTGCACAAAAATACTAGCTCGCTGGGAGTAGTTTTAGCCTATAGGATGAAATTATTAAGAGTATAGAGTGAAATTTTATGGTTATAATAAAAAACAAGGTGTTGAACAACAATAAATACTATCTTGACAGTTGTACGCGTAGTCTTAGTACTACTGTTGTTATGGAAGGTCTAAAATTGTTTTAGTTTTCGACTCGCTTTTCGTTTGTACTTTATAAGTCCAAAGAGAATAGTATACGTTTTGTAGATAGTAAATACCTAGTACTAATCTAGTATTGATAACTTTATTTAATTTTTCGATCGCTTGACTTTGTACCGGTTGCGTGCAACTATCGCTTGACACAAATAAAATTTATATTTTACTTTTTTTTTTAATTTTAATGGTCAAGTAATTATGAAATATTTTAAACTTTTGTTTTATATTAAGATTATTTATTAACTAAATAAATGGAAAAATAAATATACAAATAGAAAATACGGTAAGGTCATGAAAATATTTGTTAGATAAAGCTTACAGAGGCGGTCGAAAGATAAGCGTTTATAACACATTTATTTTTTACACAAGCTATTATATTAAATACCCGTTCACTGTTGGCATCTAGTGCTGACGTAGCTTCGTCCAGTAGCAATAAACGCGGAGATCTTATGAGAGCTCTCGCTATGCACACACGTTGCTTCTGCCCACCAGACAATTGAGCACCGCTCGAACCTAAGTTTGTGTCGTAGCCCTTAAAAAATAATTTCTCATTAACAACTACTTCATAATTTACGAGTGAGTACTTAATTATATCGAGATCAATATGTATATTTTCAAACAGACAATAACTTAAACAATAAACAGGGATTCAGAGATATTACATTATGTGTAAAGGCTGGGTATAGCCCAGCCGAATTTAGCGGACTAGTAAATTGACAGGTTTCCTTAAATGAATCTTGTTATTTTATAGCCCTTCCAAATCACTTATAAACATTAACATGACGACTTGATGTTGTCCTTCTTTTTAATGGAGATTGATCTTACTCCATAACTACAGTATAACATACTTACTATTGTGAACGAAAAGTATAGGAGAATAGGCTTATTACCTTGGGCAATGATACTATGAAGCTATGTATATTAGCGGCTTTGGCGGCAGCGACGATTTCGTGCATGGTAACCCTCCTGTTGTTATCACCGTATGCGATGTTGTCGGCGAGTGTGCGATCAAAAAGCACCGGTTCTTGTTGTACAACACCGAGTTGTCGCCGCAACCGAGGTAGAGTCAAGCCGGTTCGGGTGTCGCGGTCGTCCAATTCCTGGTAAGTGTTTAATTATTATGCAAACAAAACTATATGTATATATATCTCTCGACCATTAAATTCGTAACAAATGGCAAACTTGGAAATTTGTAGGAACATTGTCGCTTAAATTCTCAAATTCGTTCATTCTAAGAAGATAGTTTTGGTGTTCGCAGTTTAAATGCATGTTTTTCGTACGATAAGGTAAAGCCATGTTCTCGTAGCGACAAATATGATAGTCCAGCAATAAATGAGCACAGTAATCATTAAATTTTAGCGGTATTCGGGCAAATATTAAGTCATCTTCGCACGCCATCTTACGTTCCTGTATTTTAAAACCTAAGCCAACTTTAGAATCGAATGTTGGATTATCATTCATATTAAGATCTAAGCTGTTAGTACTTAAAATGCTTATAAACTACACCATTCTTGTGAATCAAAGAAATATTTTTTTTACACCAACATTATATAATAAGCCAGAGTTTTATATGTTTTTATAACCTATTTATTAATTTTATTATTCATTGCAAATTATAATTGTTATATAAATTATAACATTAAAATTTGTCAGTTATTGTCTATAGATGTCATGTATTCCATTTTAGGTGATAGATAGATGAATCAATCTTAAGAACAAGGAATCGATCTGTGTACATATTGTCTTAAATGGTTACCTACAAATTCAAAATCTAAAAGCAATAATACTAATTTATTTATAACAATAAAAATGTACATACGATACATCCAGTATCAGGATCGTAGAATCTTTGCAGAAGCTGCAGAACTGTCGATTTGCCGCATCCTGAAGCACCAACAAGTGCAACCGTCTTGCCGGCTTCGACTCTTAGGTCTAATCCACGAAGCACGCGGTGGTGAGGGGCCGTCGGATAACTAAATTCTACATCCTTGAAATTAAAACTTCCGCTTGCGATCTAAAAGGTAACATTATTAAATAATATTAAAAATTAATTTTATGTTTGTTCCTTAACCTATTTGTGCATAGATTAGTGATACTCCTACATATGAACTTCGTAATGTCAGCCCAAGTAACCTGTACAAAGTGAAGTAAAAAAATTATTAAATCAGACTATTATTATTATAACTATTATTATTCCATATTTCTTAGACGTTTAGATACACTTATTTGTATGATTTTCCTAACAAAAGCATCGTTTTATCCTTTATTTTCGTCCATTATAGTGAATTTACATTAATTTCCGAACTATTTTTAACAAAATATCATTTATAATTTAGTAGGTATTAATAAGCGAAATAATAAGTTCACTAACCCAATCTTTTTTGTCCCTGACTCCGTTTTCGGTCCTGATCTTAGGTTGTCTGTTGATAACCGCTAAGATCCTGGCACCACAAGCTTTTGCTGAATTGAAGCTCGGTGCATATACTAACGATTGGCCCAACATATATGCTCCATACATTATTGCTTCATTTACCCTATTGTAAAAGATTAATAATTAATATTAAATTTAAAAAATACAACTTAAATTTCATCAAACTTATCGTCAGACGAATAAGAATTATAAATATGGTGATTGAATGATTGGAATACATACAAAAGCACGGTCTTATACTCGATTCCTTCCCTCGCAACAAGAACAGCACCATAAACAGTGGCACTGCAAAACGACAGGAAAGGCACGTATGTTCCTAATCCTAGTACCAGACCCCGCCAACGTGTTTTTCTGCTGACTGCTATGCATGACTCGTCTAGCGCTTCCTTAAACTTCTCCAGGAAAACGTTTTCAACGCCTGTAAATAAAAATATCGTTATATCAATAAGACCTGTCAGAATATCAGACTGTCTTAACAATTGACGAATGTATCTGTCGATTTTGTAAGTTTTCGTTAGTATACGTATAATAACGCGGACCTTGCTCTCTCCTTTTAACTTATATATTCGATAGCGACAACGTAACTATTGATAGATTTGATTTCAATCATCTAGTGTGAAAGAGCTACTATGATATTTTTTTATTAATAGACAGTTAACGGCTGAACCATTAAATGTCCACTGCTGGACATAAACCTTCCCCATAAGGGGAGTTTTGCCAGTAGTTGCCACGCTTGACTGGCGAGTTGGCAACCCTGCAGTTGCCAACTCGCTTACAGGCTTTTAGTGATATTTTAAGAGGGATGCTGCTGCCCATCCTTCACCCTCCCTTAGTCGCATCTTACAACACCTACATGGAAAGGAAGGGGTGGCCCATTCTATGCCAGGGCACACACGGCGATATCATGATATAATGAATAGCAATTATGGTAATCGTTACTAAAAATGTTGAGTCAAGGAAACTGCATTTTTAAATTATTATAAATATTTTCTATTCTGTTTTTTTAAAAGTTACTTAATAGATATGATATATATAAATCCAAGTACTAAGTAAGCATGTATAATAGATATATCTATTACCTAAACTTTGAACAGTCCGAATGCTGATAACTGCTTCCGTGGCGACCGCAGTGGCTGTTTCCATAGCTTCACGTTCATTTGCTTGCGACTTTTGGGATACTATACCTTCTAACCATATACTACCAACCATCTGTAATTTTTTTTTTTTATAAAATTAGGAATGGCTAACAAATTGGTAAATCTTACCTGTTTGAAAACGATAACTGTCGTTTAAAGACATATCATTACGACGGTAATCGCAAAATAAACATGTTATCTTTCATGCATTGTAATTTTTAACTACTAAGGTACTTATTTATCTTATGATGTCACTGCCATTTATTACCCTTAAAATCATTAATGCACATGACTTTTGTGAGATACAGCGAAATATTTCAATACAAAACACTAGTGAATTACGGCTATTCAAAATTAAAAAAAAAAAATTCAAAATATCTTTATTCATGTAGGTCTATTCCAGACTCTTATGATATGTCAAATCTACCATCAATTCGGAATTATTTCGAGATGAGAAGAACTAACAAGAAACTTAAAACTTAAAAGAAGAAGAAGAAGCTCGTATTCTTTTCAAATAATCTATCTGTTCTGTAATATCTATCTGTTCTTACAAACACATTATACATACATATATACATTTAGAGGCAACCACAGCATGCCTTGCGTTTAATAAATATTAAAACAATTAAATTATTAAACCATTAAATGTTTTTAAATGAATAAAAATATTAATAATTTTCATTCATTTGTTGACACCCAACAATTCTAATATAAACTATTCTTTATTTGAATTTCTATAAATAAATACTTTTATTCTAAAACGACCGACATCGCACATATCCTTTGATATTATTAATTTACGCAAGAATTTTTTTTTCAAATTTTTGTAATTATTTACCAATTACAAAGCACCATCCAGTCTCAAACTATGCAATATCCTATATGTACTGTACAACTGATAGACAGATTAATACATTGAGACATTACTGTAAACAAATATTTGTATTGTGCGGGGATTGAATCCATAATTATTGAAAGATATCGAACATTACATTGTCGAAATCGTTGTAATAAAAATATGTACAAGTCGTAAGAAGTGTAGTGTGATATATTTATATTTATTATATATATGTGTATATTTTGTGATATATTATTATTTTATTTATTTATAGCAACAAACAGTCATTTATAAATATACAATATACATCATAGTTTTATAACAATACACCTTACAGTGTTAATATATATATATATATATATATATATATATATATATATATATATATATATATATATATATATATATATATACTGATATTGACGCTTACCACTTTTCATTAGGTGTGGCCTTAGCTTGTCTCCATTCCAAGTGTTATAAAAATAAATTAATAAATAAGTAGGTACACAACAAGTGTTTACGTCAATTACTTTAATCTGTGTGAAGTGCAATTATTATTTATTAACTAGACGCAAAAAAGGGGTGTTATAAGTTTAACATGTCTATCTGTATCTCATACCTATGTATCTGTCTGCTGCATCATAGCCCTAAACGGATGGAACGATTAAATAAGTTTTTTTCTCGTTTGAAAGCTGAATAGATCGAGATAGTTCTTAGCTAAATATAATTTATGAAGATACGTTTAGGGCTTTGAAGAAAATCATTTTTTACTTGACGAAGTGATTACAGCAACTTCCCCAAGTTCAATTAATTGAAATTGGATGTACCATTACTTTGGTTATATTTCCATGATATAGTAACCCGGACCTGATGCTTCAACATCAAGTAATCTACAGGATATCAAACTCATCAGCAACTTACAGCAGATATAGCTTATTTGAGCTCATTAGAATAGTCTTAATGAGCAGGGATTAAACAAAAAATGATCGAGAGCTTTACTTCACAAACCTAATACCTAATACACACATACCTATATGTTTGTATTAGGGATTTTAAATTTTTATTAAATTAATTTGTTATTATAGGTGGTTAATTATTTTAGTGGTTTATCTCTAACTTCGTTTAAAATTAGATGGTGTTGTGAAATGGTTAAGTTTAATAATGTTTATTGTTGTTATTTATATTTTTACAGAAATTATTAAATATGACAATGAAGTTCCTTAGACAGAAAATAAATCGACTTTCGTATTATCGGAGAACTAATCTATGTCAATCTTAGGATATTCAACTTAATATTATAAAAATTAAATTTTGTAAAGATGTTTGTTACTCAGTAACACTTATACAGCTGAACGGATTTTGGTACACGTTTAAGTTATAATTTAATACATAGAATGCTTTATAAACTGATTAATACGAGCAAAGCCGAGAGAAACGGTAATAAAAACAAAATATAATAGTACTTATTGAGGTAGGATGGAATAAATTAAATAATAAAATGTTCTATTAAACAAAACAAATTATGTTGGTAATACATTTTTAAAAACTACTCGTATATTTAAGTATGTTTTTCCTATTAAATTCATATTTCTATTAATTTACAGTCATATAAAAATTGATTAAAAAAAAACTAATATAAATAACATTTTAAAATATCTTAAACGACAAACCAGTCAGGTTCCAGTTATGGTGGAAGTGTATAAATATTTTTCTAATAATATCAATACGTATATAAAATATAACGACTTACAAGAGGCAAGAAAGCAGTTCCAACCAGCGTCAGTTTCCAGTTAAAGCTGATGGCCATAATGAAACCCACGAGAACCGAGCTTAACCCCTGCAGGATTAATCCTATCCGAAGTCCTGTGGCGCCTTGTACTTCTGCAGCATCACCACTAAGACGAGAGCATAACGCTCCTACAGCGTTGGTTGATTTGTCAAAAAATCCGATCTCCTAATAACGTAAATAAAAATAAATTACTAGGTAAAATAATTTCCTTTTAAAAGTGTGTAAATATATGTAATTATTTGCATGAGTTATCATTAAAAATTAATTTACATTTCATTCTATAAAAGAAAGCCTATTTTAATATTAATAAAATTATTAGCGGTATGGTAATGAAGAGACAATAAATAATTTGTTATGTAACTCATATTCTTAAAATTTCTTAATCAACATTGGTTAAGAAATGGCAATAATAGTACCTATAAAAACATAACCATAAAAACATGCAGCTAAATTGATAACTAAAATATAAAACATGATCAATCTTACCACAAAAATACTTCAAAACACTGGCTTTAAAACATTATTTAGTCGTTGTCATATTGTTTATTTGTAGTTCTATGTAACAAAGTCTGACACTAAAAGTCTTAAACTATTATAATAAAATTTATTATTTTAAGTACGTTTTTATTTTTAATAAGACGTAAAGGGATATTAGAAACGCTTTTGTTATAAGACGCCTTAATATGTACTGAACACCTGTCTAGAGCAAGTTTTTTTTTTTGTGATAAGACAAGACTCATTTAAATACAATATCATTATCATTTCAATGATTATCCGTCCACTGCTGGACATAAACCTCCCCCATAGTCTGCCATAAGAACGGTCCTGACTATACTATATACTATAAATTAATTAATTTGCTACGTACATGGTACTTATTTATACAGAAACATACCATTAATGATAATTAATATTTTATTTACAAATATTGAAATACCTGTCTCAAAAGTGCAGCGAAATATTGATGCCGAAGTCGTGTTGTCATCTTTAGGCCTGCATATGTAAATGTTGTACCTTGCAAGCACATAGCGATACCAGCCACAGCCGCGATCACAACGAACAGTCCGGAGTACAAGTCCGCTTGGTAGATGATATCGTCATTGTTATCAAGAATAAATATCTGCAATATTACAAATTATGAAATTACAGTATCTTATTTTCATGGATGAAGATAGTACCTATATTAATAATACATAGGCCAAGCACCACTGCAATAAAAGCATTTAAGATGAAGTAAGGTCATTTGGCTTATTGTGGCAAATTCAAAAGGAATTAATGATAGTTTCCAAGAGCCGCGTAGAGGTTGAACTGGTAGTATACAATCTGATACTTCCCAATAAATAAGTTATGTAAAATTCGAGGAATCCGAGAGGACGCGTACGCTATAGATGTCACACTTTGCCCCTTGTAGCTAAAGGAAAAGTCTCATTTTCCTGAGACACTCGCCGAGCATTAGAATCCAACAAATTAGTTTGATTTATTACTTCTATTACCGAAAAGTTGATTCAAAATAAATGAGCAAATATTGAATAATATTGCAATATATTTATAGAATAGGTCATCCCTTCTTTTTACAAGGGTATCGTAAGAGGCTACTAAGGGAATTTAATAGGCGATGGATTGGCAGTAGCGTCCCTCTTAAAACATCACTAAAAGCTAAACTATGGTTGTCAACCAGCTTGCTATGTTTATGTGCTTGCACGGCAATTATTGGCAAAAACTCCCCAATGGTAAACTGCCATAAGGAATGACCCCGTTTCTTATAACAGTTTATGAAGGAGCCTATGTTCAGTAGTGACCAAATAAAGGCTAATATTGTGATAATAATGACTTATAGGTTATAAAATAACTTACACCACTAGTGTAACCGAAGAGAAGAGCAAATACAGGAAAGCAGGCACCTTGTAAGAAGGCGGCTATAGAACCCACTGTCAGTAAAGGCCATTCAGGACCATTAAGTTTCAAAAGCTGCCAGTCGCTTACCGACTTTACCTCCTAGAACCAAATAAAATTATTCTCATTAAAAGAAAGTTTGAACAATATACTTATTTACGTATTTAAAGTCTGCCATTTCTTTTAAATACAAATGTGATTTATTAATTAATCCTTGTATTGTAATAATTGTGAATAACTCACATCGTCTTCATCTTTTTCCGGTTCATCTTCAAAATCAGCATTATATACGAAGTTCTGTAAACCGGTCGACATGACTGAGCAGATCGAGCCACGTGGCGTCATCCAGTCGTGGGATTCTAGTGGGAAATATTAATAAATAACTAAAACATTTAGTTTTTTGAAATAATAAATGTGCAATTTGAATAATTAATAATTACCTACACCTAATAATATATAACAACTACTGATGTTAATTTATAAATAAATAATTTTGAGGATATTTTAATATAGGGTGCTTTATACTTCTAGTTATAATTATATTAGTTCTAAAAATCGTTTCATAATTTTGCCAATTTATTTTCTTAAATACGTGGGGATGGAAATACAACAAATGAGTGGCAAATTTATAGTCTATTTTCCAAGAATTTACCTACCCCTTTTCATCGAGTGATGTCTATGGACTCTTCTGTTGGATCTTCTTTTAATGTCAAGGCGTGGGGCAATGGGCGCGTCCGCTTCTTCTTCTCCAGGCGTTTCTTCAGGTAATGTTTCTATGACATCAGGCTCCTGATTATCATTACCAGTTGTAACGAGCTTGAAATAGAATCCTGGAAAACACATTTTCAATATTGAAGACGCTGAGTCTACGTTGAAAAAAACTCCACGAAAATGTAAATGAACGAATTACTGACATGATGATATATAAGTGTAACAACTAATTATAATACAACAAACAAATGAGAACTAAGGACAATAAATTGAAGTACATATTTTTTTTTTAATTTATATCTAGTTTAACCTCTGCATTTATTATCTCACCTTTTGCTTTCATCAGTTCATCATGAGTGCCACTTTCAACGATGCATCCTTGATCCATACAAATGATGCGGTCGGCATTAACAATGGTAGATAATCTAAACAAAACATAATTAAGTATATTATTACACTTTAATATCTATTCCTCAAGGTTTAATTTTGTATATCTCAAAACACTAGATCTCATTATAAATAAAAGTTTGTAAAATAATTATAATATATTTATAATTTAATTAATAATAATAATTATAATAGAATATCTATAAAAAAATGCTTTCATAATTATCTTTCAAGTACCAACCTGTGAGAGACAATGATAGTGGTTCTTCCAACACTAGCTCTATCCAGGGCTGCCTGTACTTGTCTCTCTGAATGAGGATCTAAAGCAGAGGTTGCTTCATCCAACAGCAACACAGCTGGTTCACGTAACAAGGACCTTGCGATAGCAATACGTTGTTTTTGCCCACCAGAAAGGGAAGCACCTCTTTCACCGATTACTGTGTCGTAACCCTTTAAATAATTACATTGATTATTATTATGTGTGGTATAATAAATTTTATAATAATAAAATATATTAGTTGACCGCTAGATGGATAATTTATCTCAATAAAAAATAAAATGTATCGCCTAGAATCTTGAAAGATAACTCGATCTATATTTACAAAGTAACAAATTTGATATACGTATATACATATTATATATATGTGATAAATAGTTTTACTATTAAAAATTGACTTCAACCTCACTATTCTAGGAAGTAACGATAGTATATAGCTCATTGATGCATAAACATCATATCATTATTAATATACTATATAATACTAACGTTCGTTAAATGAGTGATAAAGTCGTGAGCATATGCGATTTCAGCGACCCTTTGAACTTCTTCACGCGTTGCTTCAGGACAACCAATAGCGATATTATCATGAATCGTCCCTTTGAACAATACTGGTTCTTGACCTACCACACCTGAAAATAACATTAATTAAAACATGAATTATTTATAAATAGTAATAGGTACATAGAAAACTTTGTGACTTTCACTCCAAGAAAAATATAAAAAGGAGAACAGAGAATAGCCCAGTAATACAAGACCACAATAACACTAACATAGTAATAGTAGACCCATATTCTCGTTTAATGAGAATTAACCAATACCTCGTAGTTGTTTTAAGGATAATTTGTTATTATTTATTTATAGACTTACTAACATACTAACCCAGTGAAGATCTTAACCAACTTAAGTTGAGGTTTTTTAGGTCTTTTCCATCAAGTTTAACGATGCCAGACTGAGGATCGTACAATCTCTGGAGTAGTTGTAATATAGTAGATTTTCCACAACCAGAAGAACCCACTAAAGCAACGCATTCCCCAGCTTTGATGTGAAGTGAAAATCCTTTCAGAACCTGAAATAATAATATAAAACTGCTTGTGAATAAATCAGGTAACTTTTCTCATTCTCTTCTATGACTTCTCTAATCAATGTACCTACTCGGTCCTAGATCATATACAATTTTCTCTAGAAAATGACAGCTAAGTGATATATTTGTACTCAGCCCGTGATGCCTCACTAAGGTTGCCAATCCGCCTACCAAGCGTAGCAACTATTACCAAAACCCCCAATAGAGGGAGGCTTATCTTTAGCAGTAAATAGTTAATGACTGATGATGATGACGAATATAAATCAGGTGTGCAGATACTATTTATCGATAATCGGATGGCGTTAAGTCCCGATAGTGAATTTAAATATACATAAACAACGCAAAAGTTTATAATTTAACTAATTTTCAAACATACGATATCAAAGCACATTACACTTACTTTAACGTCAGGCCTAGAAGGATAATTGAAATAGACGTCCTCTATTGTTATTTCTCCAATAACTCTACGAGGGGCGATTCCTTCTTTGGAAAGGCTATCTATTTTGGGTACTCGATCAAGAAGATGGAAAATGCTAGCTGCAGCGCCACGTGCTGCAGCAAAGACCTCCGCGTGAGGAACACAGAATGTAATTGATTGTGTTGCCATATATACGCTGTACATAATCTGTAAGCAAAATATTATAATAAATAATATATATTACACGAAAATAAGCGACCTTATACAGGCGTCTTTGGCTCCAAAAACGAATGAGTGAGCGTTAATTTAAATTTCCAACCGACTCTTTTTTGTTTACTCTCTGCTTCATAGAAGCTTTAGGAAAGTTTGAAAGCCTTAAAAGTGACAATAACTGAAATTAACAATACATGTGTCCTCCATTCAACAATGTCTAACCTAAGAGATCAGAATCCGTATTGAAATAAAATACCGTCGCTGTAAGTCACTGATGATGATGATTTAAATCTAGATACTAGAAAATCTAGTATCTAGATTTAAATTTAAATCTGTCAACTTTGGTAGATTTGGGAGAAATTTGATAAATACCAATGTATGTATATATAAATGACAATAAATGCAAACACCTAAATTTTAAAGTGAGATCATGATGTTTGGTTACATTACGCATTAAATCCTAATTAACAATAAATCTAAACTTACACTAAATATTACTCCAACTATGTATCTCCGATCATCGCCAATTTTATCATTATCTTGTATAACCAGCCTAGTTCCGTAGGTGAGTCCTATTGCGTTCAGTGAGTAAGTAAGTACCCAATTGAAGCCTGTTCCCAGACCAGTATAGAGACCTCTTCTACGTCCATATCGCTCTGCTGGCTCTAGCAACCGTCGATACCTGCCAAAAGTCAAAGAATTTTAAGATTAGACTGATAAACAAGATAGTACAACATAAACAATGTTAAAAGACATACCTACCTCTTAAATCATTTCAGTGTATACCGTTAGCGCAAGTGGGGTTACCTCTTAAACCATATCTAATCTAAACATGAGTACAGAATAAAAGGGAATTGTTATTAGTTAAGCAATATAGGCCATATTTAGATAAGTTAACCTTTACATGATACCTCCTGAAAATCACAGTAGTTAATTATTAGTGAATTAATTACGATGGGGCAACTGACCTGACTTCATCCTCACTTATCATCACTAACTGGTACCTCCTTATTGTACAATAGAGATTATTATCCTATTAAATGTCTGAACAAAAAAGTTAAATATGAATTCCTCTCATTATTGTATTACATTATCATTAATATTATTAAATTTGCGTAAAAATATATTTTTATAGTTATAGTTATCGAACTTAGAGTTCAAGTTAGGATTTTTTTTTTATCAATTAATGATGTAAACGCTAAATGTAAAACCTACTACGTAAAATAAAATACTTAGGCATTCTATATTAGCTACAAATGTTGCATCTGCCATGCATAGATTATTAGTAATTAGACTAACGTATTATTCGTTTCATTTTATTACATATGTAATCCACATAGATAGTAACTATTGCTACTTTTGCAGATTTATTTTTAACTACCGAAATAATTTTACTCGACCTTCAGCTAGCGAAACGAATCTTTCATAAATAAGAATTGAACTATTTTAGTTTATTATTTTAAAACAAAACTTTAGTGAAAGATCACAAAACTTTTCGATTAAAGATTTATTATTATAGATTTTATATAATTAAAGATTTACAGAAATTACTGAAGAATCCTTCCTTTCTACTGTAATTATTTAAATAAATAATAATTACGATAAATTACGTAATTAGTACAGGTTAGTAGTTTTCTCATACACTAAGATATATTAATTGTAAGTTGTTGTTAAAATGACTAATATAATTTATTACCTCTCTATTTCTTTGGTTTCTCCTCCAAAAGCTACTATGGTTTTAATGGACTTGAGCACCTGTTCAGCTTGTTTACCGGCCTGACTATACGACTCCATCTCTCTGATAGACGAATTTATTTGATACTGGAAAAATACATATGATATTTATTTATTGACGAAAAATATCGAAATAAAGGATAATATACTAAAAGAGCTATTCCAGTGCTTTTCAAAGTGTGGGTCGCAACTCCCTGAGGGCTCCTCAAGGCTCTATAAGGGGTTCGCGGAGGGTCGCGAAGCTGTAAAAACATTTTAAGTGCAACTTAATCGATTTTAATTTAAGATACTTCATTATGTAATATTTATTTATTGTATTTAATCAATCAATAAATCAGCCTAAACATAGGTACAGTTACAGGTTTAACCGATATCTAATTATAAAAACAAAAATGTATTGATTTAATATTCGTACAATAATAAAATACATCAGGTTATATTGGGAATCGCGGAGGATAGGGAGTCGCGAAATATATTTATAATAAAGGGGATTACGCCATAAAATTGTTTGAAAAACACTGGGCTATACAGCAATAGGTATACGAAGTAACTCCTATTGATAACATTTTTATTGAGATTTTTAGCGCATATGACTATAGACATACTCGATATTTATTGAATGTTTAAAAATAATTTTGTTTTAATTTTATTATTTCAAGCAATCCTTGACAATCTTTTTATTTTCTTTTTTATTTTAGGAGACATAGACTAGTTCTAGATAGTAAAAAAAAGCATTTCCAAAAGTGAAAGACGATTTGAAAGGAGACATTTTTGTAAAAGTAAATTATATAATATATTTCAGTTATTATTGTCTATCTAACAATGTTATATAGACTTTTAAACCCCAAAATCGTTGTGACTTCAGTCTGATCGATATTCTCTAGTAATAGGAAACACCGTAAACCTAGAGTAAACATTGTCACTACTATGTTGGATTTTAATATGTTCCGTGAAATGAGGGTAGATCGAGTGACGTGTTTAATGACAGTTGATTCATATCAAAACCTTTGAATACACCATTAGGAATAACAGTCATAGGTAGTAGTAAGACTAGTAAAAAAAATGTACATATTAATGAGCTAAAAACTAAACGCTTTTCAGTCTAGTTTTTTTTTATGTTTCCTAAGATAATTTTTACTGTAAATTTTTAAAATATAAATACGCGATCCAACTAAGCCTAAAGTATACATTGTTATATATTATATCTCTATACCCAAACAATAAACACAGAAAGTTGTATTAGAAACAATAACTTAATCAAATATTGTATTGTATGAAATTGTATGAAAACACTTTGACAAAAAAAAAACTATCTACGATTAGATATAATGAATGAGATTGATTTGGATGAGAAAAAACTTTTAATCGAGGTGCAATGTTCGTATCTCAAATACATTATTTATATGGATAAAATAAGTAAATAGGCATACCTATATCAATATTTTGGTAGTACAATAGGTATCACATGACTGAGAATATACATAATTCAGAATACCAGTAATGTCATGTAATGCAATGTAAATTGGATACCCATCTGCACTAAGCCTCGCATTTGGGCCATTGTACATGTGAGTCGCAATTAACACAAGCATCCGAGCTTCGCCTAGAAGCGCAGATACTTCTTGCTATTAACACAGGCCCCAGCTACAAATTCCAGCTAATATTAATCTTATAATTATGGTGGCCGTATTTCTTCCAATAAACTTAACGTAACAAGAGATAGTGATTAAATGTATGAGTGAACTATGGATCCACTTCAATAGTAATTCTGATTTGAAATTATTTACCGATGTGTATGACATAAAATTCTAAGGCAATCGTCACTAGTCCTTAAGTATAGGCACATACATATAACAAAAAATATATAAAATTGTATTAAAAGGTCCAGAAATATTATGTCTAGCTTCCAACGTTTCTGAACAAAAATGATGACGATACTTACTTTTGATAATATTACAGAAGCTGCAATGGAGAAGGGTACAACGCTGATACAAGCGAGAGTCAATTCCCAGCCGAGAGGGAAAGCGGTGCAGATGCAAATGATAGCGGTGCCCACTAAATTTGACACAACGGAGAGTTTTTCACCCATACCTTCCTTCAACTTCATCATATTTCTAAAGAAAACAATATTAGAGTATACTTATTAATTGAAATAATTTTATCTTAATAAGTGTATTAACATTATCTTTACACTAATTAGTATAAAGAGATAAAATTTTATAACTCAATATTTGTCTTTCGTCTGAATGACTGTCAGTAAAGTTACTTGAAGTACAATTTATTTGTTAATTAAAACAAGTGGTCAATAAAATAATAAATTCAAATGAAACGATCCATAGAAATTAAAGTTTATTACTCCTATTATCCGAGTGTCTACATCTACAAAGTTTGCTAGATAGTTCTCTATGATATTAAATTATCCATACTCACTCGGACATCGTGGAAGCCAAATTGAATTCGGAATCTGTGTCATACCATGCCATATCTTGACGAAAAACAGACGTAAGGAATTGCATTCGGATTCTGGTTATCTGAAAATTGTAAAAGTATTAAATCGCATTTACAATTTATTTATAAAAGGCGTATATTTAAATAATTTGTCACGCTCTAACATAGTCATGGTCGAGAATGTTAACAAACAATAGTGTTAGTATTAGTTGAATAATAATAAGTACATCTTGACACTGAAAACTATTTGTTTTCTGTCTAATTGAAAACAGAAACGATGAACGATTTTTTTAAATATAATATATTGACATTTTTCCATTTGACTGTACTAGTACTCGTATTGTATTATAACATTATTCAAACATTCTAAAGGCACGTAAATGTATAACATTGTAAATAGTAATAAACCCTATCATACGTACGTATATGGCTTGCTCATTGTCTTTTCAGCTTGCCAATATTTTCGGCTATATCGAATCGGACACATTCTTCTACCGACCTCTTCATTGCGGATTTTATCACGCAGCGAAACGAATTATTAAATATTAGATATTTTCGTATATAGCATGAAGCTTGTACAGTCAATCAGTACCAAGGTCTTTTTCAATTAAGACAATTGGCTATATTTACTGTTAGGCATAACCATTATATATTAGTATAATAATACATATAGGTACTTATAAATATACCATCAAAATTTTTTCACATTACAGTATCAATATTTATTAATTTCGAAATACAAATATACCGTTGAGCATACATTACAGTACATTTTATATATTCTATGTCGTGTGATTCCGGCATAGATTAGAAAGGGCTACCCCTTTATTTCCGATTGGTGTCGTAAATGGTCAAGGGATGGGCAGCACCTTCCTTCTTAAAAGATCACCGAAGCCTAACTGCAGCTGCCAATCCGCCTTGACTACAGGTAGTAAGATGCAGTCAAGTATAGTCTAAGATCCCGCCGCAAAATTCTATAGGTATTAAGCATGTTAATGAAACTTGGTTCAAATGAATGATGATGTAATAAAATGCACCGAGCTGCCTGTACTCTATTAGCTGCAATCTAATGTATGTAAGTTTAAAGAGTCAAATAAATTTGATAAATTATTGTAATTGGTTATACTTTTTGATAAGATTTGTTTACATCAAACGAAAGTTTAGTCTTTTTTGTAGACAATGATTGGTTATTAAAAATATTGGTCAGTTGTAAGTTGATTTTACACACCGAAGTTTCTGTTGAATGATTTCGCAGGTAACGTACCGTTTTTTGGGAAACCATTAAAAACTAGTTGGAAACTTTGTTTTATTTTACTCATAATATTTACATATACCTTTATAAACTGTATTTATTTCAGGATTTTTCGTTTCAAAACTTCAGAGATAAGAAGAGGTAGGATGGTATTTTCTCAGCAATTATGTAGTATAAAATTAAAAAGTCTACTGCAGAAATCAGCGGCTAGATCTTAGGCTACATTAATTCTATCAGTTTTATCAGTTTTAATCACTTGTAAAACACTTCAATATATTTATGTTAATATGTTTAATTCACCTTGTATTTGTATATGTACCTACTATTGTTATTATTAATATTTTCGATTATTTAAACAGATGTACCTGTCGCAGAGCGCTCCAACCTACTAGTGCTGTAGACAGCATACAAAATAATAGTGATACGGCGATACTCGCGAACATGCCCGCACACATAGCTTTCCCATCATCTACTAAAGCCTCCAAATTCTGTTTTCGAGTTGCATTCACTCTGAAATTTAATTAAGTATCAAATAAAACCCGTTAATATTCATAATAAAAAATATAACTGGACAATTTACACAACGGTACCTAGTACCAAAACCAAAGTTTACATTACACATACCAGACAATGGATAGACATACTTAAATACTTATTTCATCTATATATTATAATATAAAAACCCAGATCTATACAAATTGCTGTACTCATGGCTACAAATTTATTTATTTATTAATAAATAACAATTATAAAATAATAACTAAATAAACTACTTGACAGTTTCCCAATTCGCTCTCTTAGCAATCATAATATATGAAATATAATACAATTTAATTATTGGACACTTTCACGAAAAGAACAAATCTGTATCGTGCAAGAATCGAATCTATGATAACAGAAATGAGAGACAGTTTGTTATTTGGTTACACAAAAAAAAAAAATATTAGTAGAATTTATTTAAAATAATAGGAATACTTTTTATTGTAAAAGACTTACGAGTTCTTTTAAATCGTCATTTTTTATGATTCTATTGCTGGGTTAAGAATATTATTATTTGCTGAAACTCAACAGTTACACATTTGATGTACAAAATTATTTTATATTTGTGTGGATACGGTAACTATAATTAGTATTGAGTTTTATTTATATGTATTATTAAATGTGAAATGAACAAGCAAACTAGCTGAAATGATGATGATGATGAGCACAAAGACTAGTCCTTACAAGCAGTATCTGTTCACTGTGATGACGGATAAGACAACCATCATTGCGCTCAACTATATTTTAGAGAGCTCTATGACCCAGCCTACCACACCCCCACCAGTCTGAACCTTATACGAATAGTAAGCATGACTCGCTTCAAGTTACTTGAATATATCATGAATACAGTTGGATAAAATAATATTAAATAAATTCTATTAATATTATAATTGAAAAAACTTGTAAGGATGTATTGATGTAAAGATGGATATCTATATATCCAGATGGATGGATGGATAGAATTTTATTACTTTTTCCCGCATAATTTACTGAACAGATTTAAAAGAAATTTTATATATATTTTTTATAACACAAGGGCTAAACGAGCATGTGGCTCACCTGATGGTAAGCGACTACCACCGCCCATGATCACATACAACAACACCAAAGGCATTGCAGGTGTGCTGCCGGCCTATTAAAAAGAAATATTCTCTTTTCTTGAAGGTTGTGATATCGTATTTATTCGGAAATACTGCTGCTAGAAGTTGATTTCAAAGAGTGGTCGTGCGTTGAAGAAAGTGCCTTGAAAAACGCACGGTGGAAGACCGCTACTCGTCCAGATAGTTGGGATGAAACTTTAGTTTATAGCGTGTTGTACGATGATGAAAGCACCAGGTATCAATCGGAACAATTCCTCAAAGCACTCCCTATGATAAATTCGGTAGAAAATGCACAGAGATGTAATATCTCTACGCAGTTTCAGTAGGTTAAGTCGGACAGTAAGGCGCTGATCATCAATGATTTGAGCCGCTCGACTTTGAATACGATCTAACGGGAGGACCTGGTACTGTGGCGCTCTTGCCCATAGGTGAGAACAGTATTCCATATGTGGACTGACTTGAGCTTTATACAATTTCAAGACGCGTTCCGGCGTAAAATACTGTATCATTCTATTTAACACTCCTAACTTTTTGGAAGCCATCTTAGCCTTTTCTTCCAGATGACCGCAAAATTGGATATATGGGTAGGTTGTATCCTTACTAGATTCCGGTGATCAAGATCCAGGAAAATAGTTCACTTTTATCTTGCAATGATATTTAAAAATATTATTTTATGAAAAATAATAATGAAAAATGTTTAATTGCTATTGACAATTGATATATACTTGGGACGTTGCCATATTTTGTTATGAATGTTCTTAACATTGAATTAAATCTAATACTAGTCATAAAATAAAAATTGCTTAAAATATAAACGATATCTTACACTTACAGTATCTGACCACCTCCGAAAAATCGTGTCAGCGGCAAATAACTTTTGAGTCCCTCTTCATATTTTGTTCTTTCTACAAAAGCTGTGCTGAGTTCGCCGAACTGTACCAGGTTATAGCACACGCCGCCTCCGCTGAGGAGTCCGAAAATTACGCCCAGAAATGTGGCCAGACGTTCTGTCCATGTCGCATATCGGAACTGAACAGGAGAATAGAACAAAATGGTAAGATATTGAAATTTCTTTTCAAATAGTAAGCTTCTTTTATTAATAGTATTAATAATGTTACACAATCATAAATCTAAATTAGTTTCTTAAAGTCCTAGTAATATTCATGTAGTGATATATAAATGGCATAAATTGAAAATGGTTGTAAAAAGAAAAAGTATGTTTATTTTGTTCACATCATTGATCAATATAAAGCTGATTTTTATAATAATATTGCAATGATACTAAAATAATGATAATCAAGTAGTACATATAAGAAATAATAGTATTAGTTAAAAATTTACAATTTCATATTTTCGTTCATACCAAAATTGGACCAGCTTAATATTTTTTTGGTATAAATCCTACTATTAAAATCCAAAGGAACGATATTTTAATATTTTTAAACTGTATATACTATATAATTTTAACATCAAACTTGTGTTTCGTTTGGTCCCGAAATTTCGGTAAGCATTTCATGGTAGGCCCTCTGAGTTTGCTTGTTATTACAAATATTTTTTAATTTTATCACTATTTATATTATTAGTATATATTAATAAATTTCAATATTATTAATATCCAAATGATAAATTAAATATCATGTACTTACTATTTGAAAAAAAGATATTCGAGGCTCGTTGTTTTCAACTGGTTTTCTGAAAAATAAATAGATCATTTTAATATAATAAATATATATTAAAAAATAGGCTAATGTCACAGTTTCAGTAAATCTCTAAATTATATAGAAGTAAAACAGGCAGTGCGTATCTACTTCATTCTTTTTTGTCCTGTGCCTACCTTTTAACATGAAAAAGCTAACCAAACAAAAACTAATATTTAGTCTTTCGACGCAGACTGATGATGTTTATGCTGAGATTCGATCACGTGTCAAGTATAGATCGATTAAATTGTCACCGTTAAAATAACACTAATATTCATAAGAACAATATGGATACATTGAATCGCTGATTTGCTCTTCTTTTCTAGGGCAAATAAATTTATCAGTATAATTCTAAATCAGTTAATGCGAAAATAAACCGTTAATTGCCCCACACGTCGAAGTAAAACGAGGGCAAACTCTCCTATATGTATATATATGAAAATATATCTCGTACCTACTGTGTGAAAATATAATTAACATTATGACTTCCTTCTGCAGATTTCAAGCATTATCAAAAATAACTAGTTCATAAAGAGATGTAGGTAATAATTACTAATCCTACTATTTAGTTTATTATAATTAGGTTTACGACAGTACGACGAAAATATTAAAATACGAACTAGGAGATTGCTATGTATGAGTATCTTCTTATTATTCGTGCAGTAAAAAGCAAAATTTCCGTTAATATTTCTTTTTCATTTAGATTTTTGTGTGGGTAGAATTCACACATCGAGAGTTCCATACGTAAAGCAATCTGTAAATAGAATACCAGTTTTAGCTGTTTTCATCACATTTTAAAGGTTGAACTGATTGATTGAAAAACTCCACAGTTATTGCTCAAAGTAAAAATTACCTAAAATAGTTTAAACGGTTATTTTAATATAAGAAATACAAATTTTATCTCTTGTCTATTCAAATTTAGAATCGAATAATATTATAGTATGTACACATATATGTTGTTTATTATATGAATCTGTCATAATAAGAAAAAGAAATCAAAAACTATTCTAGTTAGGAACGAAATTCTATTTTCTCTGTACCTAATAACCACATATATTTGTAAACTGTAATTATTTCAGATTTTTCTATTCGCTAACTTCTCTGAAGTTAAAGAAGTGGTAATTTTTTCACAATCGATAAGGATTCCCTTGGATTCTCTAGTTTAGAAAATAAGAAAAGTGTTTTTCATTTGATTTCATTGAAATATGTGTGACCTAATAATATCCAAACTTATTCCAAATTTTAAAACGATTGAATTCATAGTTGTCAAAATATAGCGCTATGATAGTTAGGTGGATAGACAAATGTGCATTAGAAGAGTTCTTTGTAACTTTCCTAAATACTGGCGGTGTCATAAACAGTGATGTATGTGACATATATATATATATATATATATATATATATATATATATATATATATATATATATATATATATATATATATATTTAAAAAAAATAAATAAACTCCGACACAAACTAACCTAAATAAAAAGTAAAGGCCTCATTCGTTATTTGTATAACACGTACTCATTGAAACCATTTTAATGAGCGCAAACACGCTATATCTGCTGTAAGTTGCTGAGGAATTCCTCAGCAATAGGTACTCAATTGTACTTATCCTGCAAACTACTGAATACTGCAGCATCAGGTAAGGATATGCCATAAAAATACTGTCGAAGTAACGGTACATCCAATTTCAAATTATTCGAACTCGTAGAAGTTGGTGTAATCCCTTTATTAAATACCAAATAATTCGATAGTCTTTAAATGTATATAAACATATCCTTATAAATTTTAACTCGATCAAATCACCTTTTAAACAAAAAAATTCATACGTACAACGTAACGTATAAATACGTTAAAATTATAAAACGATGCAAACAGAAGGGTGTTATTTTTGCATTGGGGATTAAAAATTCGACTTTCAAACATAGATCTCACGAATGGGCTATCGTGAATTGTATACTATAGATAATGTTCGAAAGTTTAATTATTATGTATAAAGGGTGTTTACTAAAAACTTCATTACAACAAAGATTTATTTATTTTATCAAAATGAATTACTGTTTACTATAACCCTTTTTCATGTTTACTACAGTTTGAGAAATTTTTCATTAAAAAAATCATCATAAACAATTTTAAATTGACTATAATATCACTCAACATACACTAGAAATACAGACAAAATTAAGTATTATATTTTAAGATAAATATATATACCTATATTGAAAAGTGAAAAAGAATTTTATAAGAGAAGATATCTGAATTTGTTTATGAGACGATTTTAACTATTTTTTATTGTAATTAAGTAAGATTTCTCGCTTGTTGGTACCGTATTCTTTTTCTTTATTTTTTTTTTAAATCACAATATTAGGTCTAATTTGGTCAGTATTAGATAATTGTATCACAATTGAAAAGATAATAGTTATTAAAATATGAATCAATATACGATATAAATATGTTTATGTATAATTTTAAATCACCTTCAAATCATGTAAATGATGAAACCTAAAAAACGTTTGGAACATTTTTACGTTTGCATTAGGTAATATAGGCATATGTAAGTGGCATGTATCAGCAATAATTTAAAAAAGATAGGAATATAACGAATATGTCTAAGCATAAATGCATTGAGATTCGCAAACTGCATAGTGTACTAGTACAATTAAAAAAAAAATTATATAATTATAAGCGAAAGATGTAATATAAAAATAATTAATAAATTAAAAATATATAGATCATAAACTATAAATAATTTGAAAGACTATAATAAACTACTTTACAATATATTATATATATACGGATATTATTAATTTGTGAACTTATTAATAGTTCGAAAATACTACTACAATAGAATTGAATAATGTAATATACACTTATTAAATTATAATGAGTATTAATTTACACAAAAAATAGTAACAGATGAACAATTCTTGTTAACTGGAAGTCTTATTAAAGGAATTTTATTATAACATTATTAACGAACTGCTTGAATAAATCGCAAAATATAAGAGAAATATTTATTGTCATGGTAAATTATCGCTAATGCGTTCAAATACCAAAAACTAAAAACTATCGCACAGCAATAACAATATGTACTTACTTTTTTTCACTTTTTTTTTCTGCCGTCATGTTGGTGTGAAACTTTTACAAATAATAAATTATTTTTTACTTTTCTACACCAGCTAAAACGTGCGTCTTCAGTGGAGGCTTACGGCGAATTCAGAGACGTGCTGAATCTTTCAGGCACTGGTTTGAATGGCAATGTTTTCGTTTAATGAATGAGTTATATCGTCTCAAATGTGTTGACAATTCCGCACATTCTAACTTTACTGCTTGATAACGACATATCGCTATATGTAACTTTTATATGTAAATTCTAAAATGTCTATTACGTTTATTTAATGCAATGTAATTTTAGTAGATACGTCTAGATATAATACGTCTAAAGATATTATACAGAGTTAAAATGTTTAATACGCATTGTATTTATTAATTAATCGTTATATTTAATAATTCACTGTGTGGTCACGATATAGAATGGGCCACCCCTTCCTTTTGCGTGGGTGTCGTAAAAGGCGACCAAGGGAAAGGGAAGGGAATGAGTTAATGGTCAATGAATGGGTAGCAGCATCCCTCTTAAAACGTTATCAAAGCCTAACTGCGATTGCCAACCTGCCTGCCAAGCATGGTAACTATTGGCAAACCCCCCAATAGGAAGAAGCCTATGTTGAGCAGTAGAGAGTTAACGACTGATATGATGATAATATGATGATATCTAATAAATAAATTTGTTCAGTAACTTTTGTAAGCATTGGCATTCATGAATACGTCTGTTTATATTACTTTAAGTGTTTTCTCTGTATAAAATCTATCTATTTACTTAACGAGGTGTTTAAATATACATATGTTTATTGTATATATAATTGTATATCAGTATAAACTATGCTAAGTTTGGAACAAATGACCCAATATTTATTACATTAGCATTGGACAAGTAGTATGTATTTATTTTAATTAATGCAGGAAAAATTATCGGAACTAGCTTGAACGTACATGACGTTACATGATTTTAAATGAAATAACAATTATTTAAAAGACAATGCCGATCGAATTATTGTTATTATAAAAACACTTGTACTCTTCTACAATAATAAATGCCTCAGTTTCAACGTTGAATTAATATAATTACAACAGTTTGTGAATGAATACAAGTAATTAACTGAAATAGCAGGATATCGGAAAGTACATTTAACGTTAGAAAGAGCAACGTCAATGGGGTAACATACCATATGCATCTGGGTGTATTCTGTGATAACATTAATGCTGTTTATTTCTATAGACAACGATTACGTATTAGGTCATCAGGTGAAACATTTCATTGCCATACAAAATTGTATATAGAAATTCTTTTCTGTCTAAACAAAATGGGTATTGACCGGTATCAATATGTTACGTGGAGTAGGTAGTTACCTATTTACATTACATGCAACATTGACTAGTCGATGGGTTTTAGTTGTCATTCGTATTCGTTAATTCGTGTGGCTCATAATGTATACGAGTACCTATTTTAAAGAACAATTTGATACTACATTGGCCTCTAGACCTTTGATAATACGACCTTGACTTTTCTCGCAATGTTGATAACCCGACTTTTGGCTATATAGCTAAATCCATCTGGGTCGGAAACCTATTTTGTTGTAACTATTTATCTAAAAATCTTGCTCATGTCTTCAAGATATTTCTAAATAATTTATCTCAATTTATATCAATTTAATTTACTGCTTGTCTACTCGTGGATCAGATTCAATGATATCAAAATAATTAAAAACAGAAAACCAACTTTTTAATTATTATTTTATTATTTCAGCCGTTAACTGTCCACTGCTGGGCATAAGTTTTCCCCACAAGGGGAGTTTTGCCAGTAGTTGCTACGCTTGGCAGGCGGATTGGCAACCGCAGTTAGGGTTTTAGAAATGTTTTTAGAGGGACGCTGCTGCCCATCCCTCGCCTTCTCTTAGTCGTATCTTACGACACCCATGGGAAAGGAAGGGGTGGGCCAATCTATGCTGGGGCACACACGGCAAGTTGTTGTTATCCAACTATATACGTGACGTCAAATCACTGGAGCTATACAGATGTAATTTTGTAATGTCTTTTTATTCTAGCGGACATTAAGAGCATAAAAATTTTACTGACGATAAAGTTAAATTTTGGTTAAGTATTTTAAATTTGTGTTAAAATTACTATTTTCGACAGAATCAGTAGAATCTAATACAAAAGCAGCATTCTCTTTATATTTAGTGTCTAAAATAGCAGTTTGTTATTAAAGTCTGTCTAACTTCCATGTCACACACATACCGGTCATAACTGAGAATACTACGCTCGAAGATGTCGACGAGTATGTCTACCTGAGACAACTTATCCAACTAGGTAAGTCTAACTTCGACCAATAGGTTAAGCGACGAATTAAACTTGGATGGGCAGCGTTCGAGAAATTACGCTACATCTTCTCATCCAGAATATCTCAAAATTGGAAAACAAAGATCTTTATTCAGTGCGTGTTGTCAGTGATAACTTATGAAACCGAAACATAGTTCTTAAAAATTGCTTATGCAAAAGCTTTAAATTATTCAGTGAGCTATGGAGTGGGCTTTTTGTTTTTTTTAATGGGTGATAATGGAATGGTAACCCCACCCGCGCTATCGGTGTACACCGGCGGGGCACCAGTGAAGGATGATAGGTCAGGATGAAGCAGGTCAGTTAGCCCATCGTGACGAATTCAACAAGAATTGTTCACGATGATTTCCAGGGGGAACCACGTGGAGGTCGACCCAATCGGGCATATTGCTAGCAATGGGACTGTCAAACTCCATTGCTAACAATCCCTTTCCCCCGCTATGGAGTGGGCTATGCCCGGAGTTTCTTTACGTGACAGAATCCGAAACGAGAATATCGGCAAAAGAACCAAAGTCACCGACGTAGCCCGAAGGATAAGCAAGCTGAAGTGGCAATGGGCTAGTCACACAGGTCGAAGAACCGACAACCAAAAGGGAAGAAATGTTCTCGAGTGGCGACCGCTTACGAGCAAACGCAGTGTAGAACAACCCCCCCCCCCCTAGGTAGAGAGATAACCTTAAATGCATTGCAGGGAGTCAGTGGCTGCAGATGGCTCAGAACCGTTCTTTATGGCAGTCTATGAGGGAAGCTTATGTTCAGTAGTGAACGAATAATAGTTGAGATAATGATGATGATAAATATTAAATAGTACAGTTATAATTCCAGATCATTAGTTTGATTTTAAATCATAACGTAATCTATTAAAGAAATTCTATAAACTAGTGGAGACATTTCAACATTTATTTAATGTGACTGCCCCTGGAATATTTAGGGTATTCAAATGGGATATATATATATAAAACTCACAATGTGTATGTTGTAATCTGACACGTCTAACCGCTAATGCTTCGTAAAATGAGCAATGTAAAACATTTTTTATTTCCATCTAACACTATTAGCTGTATCCCGTACTATGAAAAGTTCAAGAAATGAGCTATCAAATGCAAATGAAGATTCAAGTCCAATTAATTCCAGAGATTAACGCGTTCAAACAAACGATCTATTCTTCTTTACTATATTATTATAGACACTACAAGGAAGTGTGATGGAACCTATTGTGTATCTACTACGCAATGAAACAAAAAATAACAGTGTTCTAATTCACGTATTATACAAATGACAATATGCCTAACTTATCATGGAAGTGTCATAAGTTAACAACTACCGCAAAAAAGACGCCGTTTGTCGTATCTCCTCACTTTCAGGGCACTTCCCTTGATAAAAAGTCGAGTCTAGGAATTCTGGGCGTTGATATATCTTGCGACGTCCAGTTTTGCGGTCATCTGGAGGAGAAGGCTAAGATAGCTTCCAAAAAGTTAGGAGTACTCAATAGGGTGAGACGATATTTCATGCCAGAACACCGCCTGAAATTATATAAAGCCCAAGTCAGGCCGCATATGGAATACTGTTCTCACCTGTGGGCAGGAGCGCCACAGTACCAACTCCTTCCGTTAGACCGCATTCAAAGTCGGGCGGCTCGAATTATCGATAGTCAACGCCTTACTGTCCGACTCGACCCACTGAAACTGCGCAGAGATGTTGCATCTCTGTGCATCTTCTACCGAATTTATCATGGGGAGTGTTCTGAGGAATTGTTCGGATTGATACCTGCTGCTGATTTTCACCACCGTACAACCCGCCACAAACTAAAGTTTCATCCCAATCATCTGGACGAGTGGCGGTCTTCCACCGTGCGTTTTTCAAGGCACTTTCTTCCACGCACAACCATTCTTTGGAATCAACTTCCAGCAGCAGTATTTCCGAACCGATACGACAACATAACCTTCAAGAAAAGAGTATATTCCTTTTTAAAAGGCCGGCAGCACACCTGCAATGCCGCTGGTGTTGTGGGTGATCATGGGCGGCGGTAGTCACTTACCATCAGGTGAGCCGCATGCTCGTTTGCCCCCTGTGTTGTAAAAAAAAAAAAAAAAAAAAAAAAACTACGTCTAATATTTGCTTACAACAACTATAAAACTATAAAAGTGGAGAAGTTTGCTTTAAAAATGCATATCACTGGTACGCAATTCGCTATAGTGAACATGTATGTGGAATTAATAACAGAAGGCCCCCTGTTATTTACGTATAGCATCAATTGAGTGGCGACAGGCTCACGCCTGTCTCAATTGGTACATCGTGAATACGGAAATGAATATTTCAATCATTACTTATATACTAAATAGTATATTAGGCGACAGTACAATTTATCTGAAGGCCATAAAATGATTCGTTACTAATAGGTGACTTTGTTTCAGTGTAATGTACTATATCTACTCAAAATTATATAATTTTTATTTACTATTGTTACTGTCACTGTGATTGATGACATTTATTATTTTAGCCATTAACTGTCCACTGCTGGACATAAGCCTTCCCCATAAAGGGAGTTTTGTCAGTAACTGCTACGCTTGGCAGGCAGGTTGGCAACCACAGTTAGGCTTTTAGAGATGTTTAAAGAGAGACGATCCTGCCCATCCCTCGCCCTCCCTTAGTCGTATCTTAGGACACCCATGGGAAAGGAAGGGCTGGGCCATTCTATGCCGGGGCACACTCGGCAAGTTGAGATATGTCTTATTTATCATGCATGTTGCCGATTGGTACCCCAAATTATTGTTATTCAACTATTAACTTAGTCGCTCATTATGACACCCACGGGAAAGGAAGG